TTGTAAAAAGTAATTAGTATAAAATATGGTAGGTATATTATTTTAATATCAGCTGAATAATTTTCTGTACTCCATGATCAAAAACACTTCTTCTAAGAAAATATTTATGCTAAAATTATTATTTTAATTGATAAGTGCTACTTTTGACGATTCAAAAAAAAAAAAATTAATTATTTTAAACATTCACTCATTTTCTTTAATATATTTCTGGATAGAACATTTCTGTTAAATTTGTAATAAACAAAAAATAATAAATCAATTGCTCTATCAAGTACATTATAACGCAATATTATATCATTATGTCTTAATACATTTAATAAAAACTCTTTGAAGACAAGAAACACATTTGATAACAAATATAAATCATATAAAGACAAATTATAACAATTATATTATTATATTATTCAACACTGGAAAATAAATTGCTTTAAACAATAAGCATCTGAACTCGACGAAATTTCACACTATAAACATAACAAATACCATAAATAACAGTTTGTGCTTATAATATGATATGTATATAAAACATGAAACATAATTTCGTAATTGGATTTGTTAAAACAGAAGTTTTCATCTCTATGAAGTCATTGAAAAGTTTAAATTAGTGGAAGTCTAATTCATATTTTAAGAAGAAAAAAGTTTTTCATCCAATGTCAGTTATATCTATAAACTTTAAGGAAGTTCTAAAATCATTTTATGTTTATGGTGAAAAAACTTTTTTTAAATGTTAACTGCTACTTAGTTCATTTTGAATAAATTATAGACTAGTCTACACAATTTATTAAATTTATAGTAATATTATTACATAATATTACATATTATAGTAATAACAAAATGAACAAAAAGTACATATAAGTAGAAAAAAAATTTGATATATAATATATAATTACATCTGGCATTTCTTAAGACAGAATGATATAAAACACTTGAAAAATCATAAATTAATTCCAATTCAGTGGTAAAATATTATAATATAATTAAAGTGTTAATTTTTTAATAAACTAATAGTTTTATCTAATAGTTTTCATGATATTAAGTTTTGCAGTTTCATATCGTAAATAATAAGAATTATCATAATAATAAAGAGTTAAGACTAAAAACAGTGAATAACTGAAAGAAACCCATATAAAACTGATAATAGTACGGATGATAATATTATTGTACACATCTGCTGTAATCTTTATACATTTTATAGTAAAAAAAACTGATGAAATATGTAATAAATTAACTGCGTAAAAAGAATTATTTACTCAATAGGCATGCTTACTTTTTTTCACATAATTATAAATTTAAAAAAATATGATTTAATAATATATTGACTAAAACAAAAGTTAGAACAATATAGTTGATCAATATTATATTTTATATTAAAACCAGTAGGTACCTATGTACTTATATTATATTTTTACTTACGTTCATCTCGTTTATTTCGATCACGCCGGTGCGCTAGTTAGATACGCGTTTTCAAATTAAAGTCGAATTTCTACGTGCTTATACCATTAAATATTAATAGCCGATATTATATTATAATAGCGTTACAACTTACATGTACAATAATGATAAGTATTATATACCTTAATAAAGGTCCGTATAACAATATTATAACATTAGAAACAAAACTCCGTTGCGGGTCCCCACGTGCGTATTCCCGAAATCGTCCGGGTACCTATATAGGTCAGCGCCGTGTATAACGAGAGTTGATAAATTATGATTCGCATGTACGTCAAATGGATGAAACGGCTGAAACACACGCTCACGCTATCCATTGCCTCTATTGATAAGCAGGTAGGTACCACGGACTAAGATATAAGGTATATCTTAGTCCGTGGTAGGTACTTATAATATTTATATCGCCGAGTCGTCGTCGTCGTCTTCGGTCTTGTTGTCCGGCGCATTATTGCTCGGGATTTTTCTTCGGCAGACTTGTCTACTAGGTAATAACATAATAGTATAATAATAATAATAATATGACCTGGTTATTGTTGGTAGTTTGCACGACACGGTAACGTTTACTGGCCAACATATTTCGCGCCAAATTCCTTTATTGTCTAGCGTTGTTCCAACGATCAGAAGATAATATATATTATTATAATATCCACCAATGTAAAAGTAGGTATTAATGCATCATTAATTATTCGGCGTTCCGTTGACAATATATTATTACATTCTTTTCCAACGTGGTAATGTTTTTTTTTAAGTATAATCTTGACTAATTATTGCCTGGTCAATTATAGACAATAATGTACACTAGGTAGTTTTCTTGACCGATTTGCATTTGAGAAGAAAAATATTGCACACGAGTTTCTTTTACATTGTTTAAATGTTTTCTTTTTCTTTTTAAAAAATCCCCCATATTTTTAATTACTTATTGTGAATCAAAAAATTCTTACTGAAAAGGTCGTTATAAAATATCTAACATTGTGCAAATAGTATGTAAAAGTACCTATATTGTGTATTTATAAGTATACAATGTTTAAATGAATGGAACGGTGGAGCTACAATATTTTGAACTCGAGGGTATTCTCGGCCACTCCACTCCTTTTATCTGAACTTTAAATGCTTAAATTGACAATTGTTAGACGTTCGTAGGTTGCATTTCAGACTTACCAGAGATTAAAGGGGGCAATTAACAATAACCATAGTAAATATAAGGTCTATAGCACTAACATAACATACCAATAGTATTTTAATTTTTAACTCACGTGAGAACTTAAAATAAATTCACAGCCCACTATATATTTTGATTTCATAATATGTAAGTTCAATGATATACCTACGTCCTACTCTTAACATATTATAATGCTATTATTCTCATAGAATATAGAATCAGCTTAAGAAACAAAAATACAATTCAAATTTAAATTAAATATCATATCAATATTAAAATAATATTTTTAAGTGTCATTATTATCAACAAAAAAGGTTAAAATATTTTTAATATAATTACCACCTTTTTGAAATCTGATACCTAGATGAATATGTCATTATGGTTGTTCAATTAAATATTTCATAGATCTAAGTTGGAAACTACATTTTACTTATAAAGAGCGTACCTAATACCTATGTAACCACTAACCAAATTATTGTTTTACTAAACGGAATCTGTAAAGAATAATCAAAATCAAAAATATAAAATCACCTCATCGTTCGATAAAACAATAAAAGTTTTCATCATTGGGTTATCTGAGCAAAATTCAATCGGGGTTAGAAAAAAGTATAAATTGATTTAACTTGCTCATGTCGTCAAGACGGTGACGAAAATTTATTATACGGAAACCTCTTCACGGATCTTGGTGACAAAACTGAACTCTCGCGGGACAGTTGCAAATACGAAATCAAATTCAACACCAGCCTAATAATATTATTACGCACATACGCACGGATAGATACACACAAACACACCCACACACATGATTTTTTTTTCCATTAAATTACCCACATTAAGGGATCTTATTTCACATGTACACACTTATTATACTCTGATACACGAAATTATAAATATGACAATGTAAATATATATTGGTGTATTTTTATATTAAATAATTCACTTATCGGTAATAATTTATAATTATTAAAACAATTTAAGTTTGGTAAAATATTTATGCATTTTGATCTCACTGTACCATGCAAGCCAGTTTATTAACTATAAATAATTACCATATTTATAATTATGTACAAATGTCATTCTGAGGTACCAAGACTAATATTATATATACCAAACCGAACACCTGCTCAATACTCTTAATGTTTTCCCTACATTTCCATTATCATACGGGTTTAAATCAAATCGTCATTGACATTTCTCGAAATTGAATAGTAAAAAACCATTGATTTTAGAAATATATTTATCTACCTTAAAGAAATGCCTTTTTTAAACTGATGCAGGTCCTTGTTGAGTAGTAGGTACTTTGTAACATTTAATACATATTTTATGGGCAAACAAATCTTAAATCTCTGTGGGACTTGATTCATGATTAAATATTTATATTGTAGATCCAGAAAAGATGATGAATATTAAACTCTTCTACAGTGATAGTTCTAGTTTAATTTCAGTCCAAGTAGATAGTTGGATAAACGGGGGCATTAAAAGCAGCACTGTTATTGACCATAATTTATATAAGTATATTGTTTCATTAGGACCAGTCTATTATTTTAAGATAATCAGATCCCTTAATATGTATTGGTTGCATAATTAATATAAAACAGAAACGATGGCAATATTATGGAAATACAGATTTATAATTTGTTAATTAGTCTTTTATAGAACCCTTGCATAATTCTACCTATTACAATTAACATGTTCATAGTTTGTTGTTTTATAAGGTACGCGTTTTTTTTTTACAGAATTGTATCAAAATTTGAACTGAAAATGCTTATAAAAAAATCGTGCCTATATATCTTTAATTTTTTTGAATGGCTATACTGCTATAGTAACAATACTTATAACTTTATAAGAAACCGTGTAATTACATTTTCAAGCTTTTTGTTATAGCAAAAATATTTCTATGTAAAAAAAAAATTTTAAATGTCAAATGTGTATGAATATTTTGATAATTATACCATCTATAGAAAATGTTAATATTATAAACTCGGTAAAACTAATTAACCAGCATTTACTTTAGTTACAGGTATGACGTATACATGCGATTTTAACTTTTTTATTACTTCAAAAGAAATTTATTTACAATCTGTATTTATAATTTATACAGTAGGTAATACAAGAAGCAAATGTGATAAATTAAAACAAATATAAATAAAAGTACAGGAGAGAGGCAGACGCCCATTGGCGGCACCCCGGAAGATTTTACGTATACATATTCTTTTTAAAATTAAGTTGTTACAATGGATTCTTTAACTAATTAAGTTATTAGGTAATAATTAGAAAATTAACTAACGATAGTTACATTAAATATTAATTTTTTAACCTAGCTTTAATTAGTTAATTTTCAAATTTGAGTCTAAAATTGTAGTACAACATTTAATATTTTGAAATAACTTACAATACGTGTCTTCTATTAATTTGTCGATTGTATCTTGCTTCAGTTTTGAGTTCCTTTTGCCCATGCTTTCTTTTTCTTATCTGTGTATATCTGAGCAAGAAAACCCTTCTTGCATCTGACGTTACTGGATTATTGTCTTATTAGGTACTGAAAAAATTATAAATTTTATTATTTGTCCATCTTACTTTTCTGAGTTAGGGAAGAAACTTGTATACAGTGTGCCACAGCAACGATTCACTTAGCGTGGCAAGTAGTCAGTATAGTGTTGGATATTTTGGCTAAGGAATTTGTCTATTGTTCATTAAATTAATATTCGAAAGATTAAAATTTAAAAATTGTATCTATAAATTATGTTTTTCGTAATTAATAAAATATATAAATCAAATGTATTTGAGATGCTAAATCACTAATCATGTATCTATCAGCTTTAAAAACCTTCCAACAGTACTTAGTAGTATTATACTAATCAATAATTAATATTAAAGTTATCATAAATTACTTACCAACAGTCAACTATACATTTTTATTAATCTCAACATTTGATAACAATCATTAATTTTAAAGAATATTCATGATATCTATTTCACTCGCTAATAACTATTTCACAGAGATTACATTTTAAGTTTAGGAATTTGATAGCTTAAAATAATAAAGATATTTGATATGTTTTGTAATTTCAATTTTTTAAATAGGTTTAAAATATAATATTAAATTTTATTTTGATAAAACAGTTCTTATATTTTATTGATACCATAATATTAAATTATAATGCACAGAAATACTTATTTCTCTCTCAATTTTTTTTAGAAAATTAACTAAAAATAAAGAAAAATTACTTGGGTAAGTATGTCAATTTAATAACTAGAAAATCTGTACATAAATTATACATACATTTTAGTTCTTAAGTATAAGTATTAATTTGTAACTCGTTATCTTCGCCACAAGCACAGCTTACAGAAGATAGATAATTCAAATGTATAATGTATAATTGTATATTTGGTTTTTTCAAATAAAAAACTTAAATAAATAAATAAATATTTAACTAACATACAATATTATATTACCTACATGTCACGTAAAACTCTAAAAAATAAAAATATATTCATTTTTATTTAAATTGTTGATTAATGTTCTACACAGGCAGTAAATATTATCGTACCTTAACTATGACAATAAGTGTTACCTATATAAATATTAAATTTAACATTAGAGCTTCATTTTAATAATTTAAAGCTAAACTTATAAATACCTTGCAGTTGACATAACAACATAATATATACATCTCTTATTTGAGTGTTATAAATTATAATAACCATGAAAATATTGAGTAAGTGTATAATATTATAGTTGCTATTTAGCATGGTTTACTTAATCCTTTATTTGTAATTATCTCGACAAAGAATAATTTTTAAAAATATGATTCAATATGACATATGTAACTAAATTTGATACTTAAAATCGTTTATTAATTGAACAAAGTTGTCTCGTATAATACGTATATCATTTATTAATTTCCGTATACAAATTTAAATTTCAAAAATAAAAACTAGTTTGTTTATTAAAATTTAAAACCTTGTATGCCTTACTTATAAACTTGTATTTATATTTGTGTATTTAGATATTTTTAAGTTTATAATAATATGTTAAATATTTTATCAACAGGTATGAAAGTGTGTGACGTATATATAATATTTATAAAATATTACACAACAAGTATGTACATTATATGCGGTAAGTACTACTTATGTACCTGTGTGGCTATATACATATATATATGTATAAGCAAATTATCAACCTGCACTCCACTAATTCTAAATCATTTCGTCGCCGATTTAATGACTAAATAATTTTACATCCACGGTTACAATAATAATTGTAATAATAATAGAAAACAAAATTCTGGTGGAAAGACATGGATATAATATTACCTTTCGTTGAAAATCGAATGCCTGTCTTGAACGCGCGACTACTCTATTGATAATGTACCACGGGGTAGGGGGAAGGTCGCAAAAACCAAACACGATATGGCGGGGGGGGTGTTGTATTTTTGAAACAAAAACGATTTTCGAACACGAACGCACTCGCGTGAACGGTGAACAGCAACGCAAGGCGCAACAATGCGTGACTGCCGCGCGGTCGTCGCCTGTCGGTCGGAAGCGAGTAAACCGATGGACTTTGGCTGCTAGGCGCGCCCTTACACGCCGCCGCCGCCCGTGACGTCGGCGGTTAATCACCGTCACGAGTACCCCGTGTAATGTGTACACGTGCGCGAAACGCGAGTTCGCACTTTTTGGGCCTGAGGTATAGTGCGAAGGTATATATATGGCACCGATTTGCGGTGTAGGTACATTATTATTGTGCGTAAAAAAACCATTAAAACGTGAACAATATAAGGGATTATTTTAATAACCCCGGTGCACTTGCATAGCCCTTCACAGACCCGCGCGGTTAGCGTGTGTGTCCACGCCGAAACTACGAAATCGAAACCAAACAGCGTTTGTTTTTCTTGAAACTATTTAGATTGTCCCGTTGAAAAAAAATGTTGTTTGTGTTTCGTTTCGTTTTTCTGTTCGTTCACGGTTCTAGTACCATTTTTAAATCATTTGTATATAATTCGTGGGATAGTGTCCGGGGTTGTTTACAAATGATAGAAATAATATTATTACCCATAACTATAGGTATCTATATGGAAATAATAACATTAATAATAACTGCGACTCGGAAGTTATAAGAGCTAAAAAAGAAAAATATACCATTAAATATGCAAAAAAATTCAAAAATTCAAAAAAAAACCATTTGTTGTTTTAATTTGCACTAAAATAAATAAAAATATGGGAAAATAAAATTATAATATTTAATATTTGCAATACTCGAACATCCCACAGGCCACAACCCTTTCTGAAAAAGGTATATAGGTACTATAGTAAGGGCCTAAATTTACTCAGCCATATTATATAATCACATAATCAGGTAAGTAAACAATAAGTAAATTATAAGTAGGTAATAACACTAGTATAGTAGGCTGCAACTTTTTTGCGCACAATCTATAATTTTTACCTGATAAATCGGAACTCGTTTGCGCACACGGTTATATTAAATGTAGGTACAACTGGTTTGCTCACACGAAAATAATTATAGTGGTGACTGGTGATAGATGGGCACTGGTAATCATCGACCAAATTAAATACATACCAATAGTGTGAAACTATTATTATAACTATTATATTTAAATTTAAATTAACATGCATTTATAACTTGAACAAGTATTAACAATTATTAATAAGCAAGTAAATTAACATACATTTTTAATCACACCTATGAATACATTCATAGACAGTCCTAAGTCTGTTAAGGTGCAAGAAAAATATAGGTGGGTACTTTAATAATTTACTTATTAATAAACAAATATTAATATGCATGGTATTAAACTATTAAAGTCTAAAAGGTAACTGTGCGCAAACCATGTGTATGGTTAGGTTAAACTGTTTCCAAACGAGTGGTAGTTTTGTGGCCAAACAAGTTGTCTTTTTGGTATTTATGCGCAAACCAGTACCGCCCATAAAGTATCCAATCAAACAAGACAATCAAACCCAATTACAAGACTTGAAATTGAGCTAGACTTAACAAATAAAAAACCGTGATCCTCAAAAATATTATATTATAACATTTATGTATTATTTTAATTAAATTAGGTACAGTTAGAAATACTTTGTTTGAAATTAATTGTAATTACTGATCATAATATATTAGTGCATCGTTTATAATTATTATTCTCTATAAGTTATATTCCCCACAGCTGTATCAATTTAAAATGGATGTAATTTCCGCCTAAATTTAAAATTTAAATATTGTAAACAAAAATGCAATCAATTTATTATATTAACGATTATTAATTTTATTAATTTTTTTTTAAATTTGTATATAACGTTAATGTTTAATTAATACTGTTTGTGTCAGTATTTTTTTATTTTATATTATATAGAATTTAAGTTTTTAAAAAATGTTTTATAAGCATAAGTAAATAATTTTAAAATCAAAATTTAAAAATGCAATAACAATTTGAATAACTGTGTACCTATGAAAGTAAAAATATAATTAGATGCGGAAAAATAATTTTTTCTTTAGATTATACAAATGTACACATATCAACAATTCCAAATATAAATAGTATAAAATATGTTAGAAGGTAGATGTTAAGCTAATGATACTTTTTTGTGTATTTTTCAATAGAAAATAAACCCTAAAATATAAACAATTATACATTGGTTTTAGAAGGATAATGATAAGTAATATCTAAATAATTATGTTCAGTAGTTTGAATCGTAGGAACGTTTGAAATAAATGTAGATTTCCCCTTATTTTCCGCTTTTTCGAAGTATTCTGGCATTCCGATTTTAGTGGATTTAACTTCAGAAGTATTACATTCACTTTCTTTGCTTTTTTTAATCTGTGACTTCTTATTTGTATTGTTTTTGGGATATTTTCTAAATGACGATTCACCCACTTTTACAGCAGAAGCATTGAAATTGCTTATCATATAAATATTATTTATCTGGCACATCAAATTTTCTGACGTAGAGGAATTGTCAAGCATGGCCGAAACATCCCTTGATACAGTCTGCAACAATTTATCCACATTTTCTGAAAAATCATCATTCATTTCTTGGTAAGACGTGTTTTTCTGAATTAAATGATAGTTTTTATTTTCTTTCAACCTGAAATTTTTCATATATGTCGTTTATATAGTTAAAAGGCTAGAATAAAATATTTGGATAGTAATATTGGACATAGAAATGTAATCATCACATCGTAAAATGCTAGTCAAATACCTCCATTGATTTGCACCAACAATATATTTTTTTAAATAATTATAATATTAATACGTACTTAAAAGATAAGTCATCATCAATTGGATGACCAATTATATAAAACAAATGAAGGGTAAATATAGCGGAACCTAAATACAAACGAAAGAGTTTCATACTTTATTTATCAACTACAAATTATTAACCATTAATGTTATACTATTAAATAATTATTACAAGCTTTTATATGTATTTCAAACATGACACAAACAGTGTATCCAATGGATACAGTGAATCAATTAACGAGCATTTTTTTTTAGCCAATACCTACAGATATTGGTTGCGATAGAAAACCATTTTTGTTTGAACATATTTTATGAAATTCATCTTTATTTGGTGTTGTATAACCAAACTACTGATAAACATTGATAAAATATTATCTAATATGTACTACCAATGATTAATGGTTTATTTGGTTTAGATTTTTGTTGTTAATAATAAAATCATTTATATAATATAATATCTAATCTGGATTATATTTCCGCATTCCAGTATGAACTAGTCGAGAATATTTTTGTCAATAATATATCGTTTTTGCCAATCAAAATACAATCTATTTCGTTTGATTGCAGGTTCACATAATCACATACCTACTTCCAAGTAGTTTATTGTCATTGTTTTCATATCGTAATTTGCACAACTCGCTCTTCACCGCTCAACCTAACCGTTTCGGTTCTCATTTTAGCGGGTAAAAAACAAAATAGTTACTAAAATGTATAAACTCTATTACAATACAGTTCACCACGCGGTATGGTGTTTCTGCACAAACATGTCAACAGTAAATTACCTTAAAGTTGTTTTTCAAACGAAAATATAAGCTGTCTGCCGAATTTTACCGAAACAACTTTAGTTTATGGTTTGATGAAAATATATTGCGTCTGTGACGACGGAAAGTTGCCAAGCATTTCTAACGGCATTCGTGTACGGTCCGTAATTATTAACAATTCCGTTTGCTCGGCATTTGAGATTAAACCGACTTTCGTCCCAGGTGTACACCTCGTCCGGATTACAGCAACATAAGTGTACCTTGAGAGCTCTACCTACACACTATTTGCGTGTGTTCGTGGTTGGCAATTCGTAATTCGCAATTTATTAAAATCCGTCATTTGGCGTCGATTTGTGTAATGTTAATGAACAATTCTACCAGCTAGTGGTAAGCAAGCGAGCGCAATAGCGCATTATATTAACGCGAGCTTGTTCTTAATGATTCACGAGAGAAAAACTATTCGTCATGGATGATAATATCTTTAGGTATTCATGCACGACTAATAACTTATCACAGCACGTGTCTAGAAAAATATATATTATCCACCTGGCTGAAGTAATGTGAAATAAACAAACGAATCGCAAATTAAACAATAATTACGAAAGTGTTGAAAAATATCCTAATAGTTACCTAATAATTATTAAAATAAATCAACAGTGGTTTTTTTTCCTTCTCCTCTTTCATTTCGTTAAAAAGTATCTCCCAAAGTCATCATATTATTATGATTCATGATCAAAAAACCAGCAAATAAAGCATTGTTGCTATTTCGTTATCATATTATATTATATTTTGAAAACCCGTGTTATTATAATATCATAATAGTATCATAATCCGTGTTGTCTGTGGACGTGTGGTTCTTGGACACTGGTGTTAATTACCCTCATGTCAACAGCTCTAAGCTATTATATCCATTCAAAATTCAATAAATTATGTAATTCGTAATCTCTATTGTTTATAATATTTTGAATTAAAATATAGTTGTGAAGTGTGAAATTTTATACCTATGGTGGCAGTAAACACAATACTATTTAAGTGTTACTTCTAGGTTTAGATGTGTAATTTATATAACTATTATTGTTCTACCATTGAAATTTAAACTATATTCTATCTTCTTTCGTATTTCTATTATTTTCAATATCCACAACTCGAAGGATAATAGGTCCATGATAACGTGTTTGGAAGATATTTGTTCTATGATGATTTGACCATTTTAGTAATTAAATCTATCAATATTTATAATTTATAAAAATAATGGTCTAATGATAATAAATACTAGATCCGATATTACGTTATTTTATATTTTTGAAAACCCATTTTGAAGGACTTGTATCCTTAATTTACAAATCTTAACTACTGGAAAACTACCCGTACGAATTTTAATTTAGGTACATCAAGATTAAAAAAAATTATTCAATTAATAATAATTTACTGCAAAAAAGGTGGAATCCCTTTTGAAAAAAATGAAAATGTGTATCACCACAGAATACTCCTGTCTAAGAAGTACAAAAAATTAATCACAATAATGTGAAAATATGGACTTTAGGTATAGGTATTCAAAATTCCAAAAATCAGAATTTGAATAAACTCATTATGAAATGGAAAAATGGGGACGATATACACAGTTAATTTAATTTGCACTTGTTAAAAAGTTTCAAAAACATCCTTTTTTCTTTCTTATAATTAAACCAAGAAGGAAATTACAGTATAAATTATATTAGTACTTATACAATTTAACTTAATTTAATGAAAACTCATTCGCCAATATCAAGCCTATTCATAAATCATAAGACTATTTTATTTCGAATAAAAATCATACACTTTTAATTGATGACACAATACTCGTACACACATAAGATATTAAGTCTCAAAATAAAAATTTTAAAATATGATTAGTATATTTATCAATACATAAATTTATTGTTTTAACTTTTATATGTAGCTATTGGATATAAGTCTATACATTAATTGTCATACCTTTTATAATTCAAATTCAGTCTGATAGTCTGTGATTATTCCAGTTTAAAACTGTATTTATAGTTATTAATTTATTTAATAATACATAATTCTACCTTACTTGGGCACACCCTCTATAACACATCGACTTAACCTTTATTAATATTTTCAAAGCATTTTTTATACCTTTTTCATAACTTTTTATCAATTTCTTACTCACCAGCAGACATGAATCGTCCATCTACAGGAAAACATCCTTATCACGGAATCACTCGGTATCAACTGATTTTTCGTTATAAAGGAGTTTTCGTTATAGAGAGACTAAAATATACAGGATATAGGTTTCTTCTTCCATGGTAAGGAGGTTTTACTGCATATTTTTAAACTTAGCCCATTCAAAGTATGCTAATTATAAGATAAGGTGAGATAGTTAGCCCATTCAAAGTATGCTAGTTATAAGATAAGGTGAGATAGTTTTATAATATATTTTCTTCTATTAAACTTGATATTTCAAACCACATCAAAAATACATATTATTTATCAATTTATTATAGTTTTGATGAATATCAAATTATGTATTTGGTTAAAGAACTTTTAATGAATTGTAATTTTGATAGCCTGTCCAAGGATACTAAAAAAAAAGTATTCAAATTTAAAGCGTAAATAAATTCTAACATTATATAAAATTATTAGATTTTTAAAAATGAGGTTAAAATGTTACAAATAAGCCCGTGGTAGAAGTAAATTTAGATTATATTATACAATATTGCTACTTCGAGAAGTTCAAGGTTCAACCGATATACTTATAGTTGCAAGTTTGCAACCGTTTTCAATGCACTGGTGAAATTCTAGAGTTATCTCTGATCAAATAATTACCTACCTACCAGGATGCATCTTAAATGTTTAACACCCTTTGGGATTCCTACACAGAGATAAACTCAAACGAGATCTGGATTACTATTTGCTTAGGATTTTGAAAATTAATATAAACCCGTGTACCTACTACTACTTACTTGTTCCTAATGTAGACAAACAGTGAATTAGCGTAAAACCATAAACCTTATACGATATATACGTGAATTGCATAAACACAGTCACTCGCATTATCCTATAGTTATGTGTTCTTTGTTATACGTGTAATGATTTGTTTAAGTTTTCAAATGCTAACCACAAATGACAAACAATTTTTTTACGAATTTTCCTTACACACCGATCGTTGCATTTGAGAGATTCCCGAACCGGGGACCTCGTAGCGCCGACTGGTCAATAAATTATGACAAACCCCATAGGTATCAGCATTCTGCAACTACATAGTTACCTATTACTGACCATCCTGTACAGAATATTTGGATGACGTGCTCGATATATCGGTTACTAGCGAGTTCTGAGTAAGTGCCTGCAATATTTATAACATAATATTTGCATTATTTTTGTTTTTCGACAACTACTATCAATTACTTACCCACATTGTATTGAAAACCATTGGTTTTCCTAACTCATTTACAGCAAATACCTTGTGAGTGTTTTGATCTACTTATGAAAAACAACATGTACTTATATTATTATTTATTAAGGTCTACCAATGTGGTGACAGCTTCGCACAAATATACATTTGCACGAAAACTTTGAATCAATTTCACACACAGGCATAGACATAGAAGTAGGTACTACGAAAGAGTGTTGACCTACATTTGTATTATTCCCGATCTTATAGTATAGGTGAACGACCAACCTAACGAGTAACGATACATCTCCGGAGTTGACTGCATTCGGTATTTCAATAGGATACACGAGTCATTTTCTGTACGCTCGACTGGAATAGAATTTTTAAATACTTATCATCTACTATATCATAAATATTATAAAAGATTTTATTATTTTACGTTTAATAATAATAACGTGTATAATGTATATTTTTACGAAACTGTGTAATAGTAGTATATATAGGTATTAGGTACCTATAGTAGAATTATATGTTTTTGAAATACCATACAAAATATTTTAAACAATCGTGGTAAGTGGAAACAGTCTTGTAATTAAATTATAATCGGATAATAACCTCCTGGATAACTACATTTTCAATCCATTTAATTTTGACGAAAAATCGATCTGCTATTGTTATCTTCAAACAGTATATTATTTTCTTTTTGTTTTCTTTCAATTTTCCAGAACCACTTACTAGGGTTAACTCTGTACGGAAAATTACCCCTCTAACAAAATAAACCTTTTTTCATTCTTACTCGTAGAATTCTGATTGGTTAATAAAACTTTACTTTACTAAGAAATTCAAAAATGTATTTCTCAAATGTTTCGAAACCATAATTCCTTATGTTTACTTAACGTGCAAGTTCTTATAAGGTGAGATTTAACATCATAAAAATTTAGAAAGTAAAATAACAATATACTTCCTAACATTGTTGTGACAATGTAGCTCAACATAAAAAGTATCAAAAAATCATAATTTCGTCAACGAAATATATCATAGGTTATATGATTGTCAAAAATAATATATTATATACTTAGGTACTTAAATAATAGCGTAGGTAATATACGAACCACATTTAAAATCATATTATGGATATCTATTATTTTCTTAACTTCGTAACTAATAGTAACTATAGGTACCAAATAAAAAAGATGGGTAAGTTGATGTCACTCTGCTGTAATGTAGGTTACAAGTGGGCCACTGTGATGGATAGTGTTAAATTTGAATTCAATGATATAATATCATTGTTAAAGAAAAACAATTTTGAGCGAAAACGGTCAGTCAGCCTATGATATAAGTATATTACTAAGTATATTTGATGATATTATAGTGAATAAAGTAATTTATATATTTACATATTTACATGGAACCTTGTTGTAAATTTTCAATCCTTAGCTATAAAAATTGAACATTTAATACATTTTTAACTATAAATTAATTATTAAATTTTAAATTTAATATATTTTGTCAAAATTCGAACTTTAAATGCTTATAAGAAAATTCCTATGTAATTATAATATTTTTCAACTTCTTTTGTAACAATATATAAGGAGCCTTGCATTAAATTTTCACGCTTTTTTACCCAACAAATAAAATTTTATTGATATTTATAGAAAAAAAACTAAAAAAATTAAAAACTGACAATGTCCGTAAACAGCCCAAAAAGAGTCAAAATATTTTCAAAACTTTATGGTGTATAGAAAATGAAAATATAAACATTCGGTAAAATGTTCATGTATCTACAATTATTCGTTTTTGAATAAAAATAAAATAACAAAACCTCTACATGAGAAATCAAGTGAATATCCAATATTGTAAAAATATGAATTTCAAACGCTCATAACAATTTACTTTGATTTGCTTGTAGATATTTTTTTTTTTTTGATAAAGATAAACAACCTTATGAGGAATCTTGTATAATATTTTCAAATCTTAGTTTTAAAAAGAAAAATTGTCATGAATTCTCAAAATTTGAGAACTCAAAATAATTTGCTAATTGTCTTGATTTTTCCGTATTTTTTCAAGATTTGAACTTTAAATACCTATAAATAAAAACTGTGACTAAGGATTTTTAATCTTTTCCAAATTTCATTGTAACAAAATAGTAGGAGCCTTGTATTAAATTGTCATGCTTTTTTAAACAACAAATAAAGTTTTATTGACATTCATTGAAAAAAAGACAAATAAAATTGAAAACTGAAAATATTCTTAAACAATTTAAAACAAATCAAAATATTTTGAAAATTTTAAAATGGAAATATCAACAACCAGTGAAAATTAAAAGTATATACATTAATTTGTTGTTTATACCATTGCTTAATGATTAGTATTTTTAGCTTCCTCGTTCTGCTCAGAAGCTAGTATGGTTTTACAATGGTGTTTTTTTTTTTCTTATACACCCTGTATACAAAATATCTTACAGAAGGAGTACTTCGTTTTCATCATATAGTACCTACCTTATCTTTTAGAATAATTGGATCAAGATGGTACTTTAGAAAGGTAATTTTTCGATTTTCTAAATAGTTATTTAATGCCACAGGAAAAACCACCGACAAATTACGGAAAACCACTAAAAATGGGATTTTAATTTCTAACGCTTTGTTTATCACCATAGAAATGAATAAAAATAATAATACTATTACAATATAGGATATAATAAATAATAACAATATCCATACTGACAAACCTTCTCCGCTCAGAATCGTTTATCTTATACAATGATATTATATCATTGAATTCAAGTTTAATACTTTAATACAATCCTTTATACATTGACCGAATTGTAACCTACTGTACAGCAGAGCGACATCCACTTACCCACTTTTTTTTAAAATTATTATTGACTTAAACATCTGCAACTATTTTCATTAACATTTTTTAGAAGTGGTTACCGTTGATTGAGAAACACATGTGTATGTGGGTTGTGGACCTACGATTCGTCACTAAAAAACCCGGATGGTCACCCATCCGAGAGCTAGCAAAGCCAGACGATGCTTGGCAACAGCACACATTAGTGACTGCGACCAGTGCTGCATCATGATACCTATTAGGCGAAGTAAGAACCGCCTAGGGTTACCTGGGTTACGGCTAGGAAACCCCCAATCGCTATAGGGGCCCCGAGGAAACGGAAAACCATTTTATATAATATTTTTTTTAACTATCCATTTAATTAACGGATTAAACATAAATGAAACAAAAGTCAACATGAATATCAAACTGAACATTGTATGCAGTAGAAAATAATTTTTGGATTTTATCGAATTATAAATACTTGTTATATTTTGTATATTATCAGATGGCAACGAATACTACTAAATGCATTACAAGCTTTCGTCGATCACTTTAAATATTTAAAGCTCACATTTTTTAAACTAAGAATCAAAATTGTATTTTATTTAGTTGTTTTATTTAGTTTTGTTGTTTTATTAGTTTTCGTAAACCTACTCTTCGTTGCAGTTTTAGTTTTTTTCGTAACAACTTTGTTAGTTATAATAAATTTAAATTACATATTACATATTATTAATATAATAATATACGTTTAATATTGAGCAACAATATGTACCATATTACAATATATAAACGTATATTGTTACATATTACAGGTACCTATATACATTTAGTTTGATGTCGGCGTTTTTAATTCCATCATTAGGTATATACAGAACAAATACCATTACGTATCAATGTAATAAAACAAAGCAGTTCCTTATTCAATTTCAGGATGTAATGAAATATACCCCTTGATCCGGTTTTTAATTTGAGTGGTCAGGATTCCACCAAACAATAAATTACTAAAATTAATTCATCGGAACGTTACTGTTGTAATGGAAACGTTTAAGCATAGTTACGAGCGGTGAAATACAAAACAACAACAATAAAAAAAACATAAACTGTTTTTCTACACACTCGGAAAAAGGTCTCATCTCAAAAACTTTTCAAATTTATATTGGATGTTTGCAAAATGACCATCACGTACACCGACCAGGTCGCCACGTGCCGTGGTCTGGGATGTTTTTGGAAATTACTTTTTCGGTAATTTCGTTTGGTATTATCTATGTATTACGGCAAAGTTAGTAAACTTCAATATCGTCACAATACTTTTACAGTTTTACCTGTACTTGTACGTAACAGTTTACCGGGAATAACATAACTATACAACTTTCTATTAAACAGATTTCGGTTTTATTCAATTATTCAACTATAGTATATATTTCTTTAAATACACATACATTTTACCAATTGTACAATAAGTACTAACATTTCAGTTGGAAAGGTAGCATTTACAAACTGCTGTGGCCCAATCTGATATTATTCACGATATGCTATTTTTCGTTGAGTCTTACATACAGAATAATATTAACACAATCACAAAGAGAGTAAGAGACAACCGAATAATATTTATTGCCATAAGATCGATTCAGAATCCATTTTAAAATTTTGTTTTAGTCTTTTTGAAAAAATATCATTGCACTGTCAAATGTACGCCAATCTGATCCCTGTGTCATTTGTGTTGGGGTTTTACGTAGCAGTTGTCGTTGGTCGATGGTGGAATCAGTACCTAAGTATACCATGGCCGGATTCCCTGGCTTTGTATGTCAGCACTTTAATTATTGGACAAGTATGTATCTACCTGATTAACTTAGCCTGTGCCTGTATTATATTATTGCAAATATCCAAAATAATAAAATTAATTTACTGCAGTAATTGAACTATTGAAGAAAAAAAATACATACAACATACTTGTACGATAAAAGTGAAAAGGGTGAACAAGTGGGTACCACTCTGTTGTACAGTCGTTGTCGAGAATATATTTTTCTTTTTGAAAGAAGTAGAACAATTTGTGGGGAATCTTTTATTAAAATTTCTAATGTTAGCTATGAAAAGTAAAACTTTCATGAATCATGAATATCTAACTGAAAAATAGTTTGAAAATATTCGAAATTTTGATAAATTTTGTCAAAACTTGAACTTTAAAAAATAATTAATAATATCTTTTTATTAAAGTGAAAAAGTTTTTATAGAGAATATTTTTTAAAAAATTTACGAAATTCGAAAAGTTTCTCAAGGATAACTTGCTCAAAAAAAGTCAAAATATATCAAACATTATAATTTGACAATTATAAATTATACCATTCATGGAAAATACTAATATAAATATTTTGCAAATATTTCAAGGGTCTATTGTTATTAATTTTTGAGTTACACCAAGAAAATAAAATCAATATTTTCAAAATTTGGTTTAGGGTAAAAATACTGTTTTTTTGTTTTTCTTGACGCTTTCTAATATTTCAATTTTTCCTATTATACGTATGTACCAACTACATTCTCTTTTCTATCAGAAAAAATGCTGATGTTGAAAATTAGAGGATTTTTACTAACCCAAATGTTGATAACAGACAGAAAAACACACATTGTAAATACAATACATTCCTTCGATCCACTCGGAATCTAAAATAACAAATAAATATTACAACCCCTAAAAACTTATTTTCTGCCTTCTGAGTTATTTAGAGATATTTTAAAAATATTATGATGATTACATAAATTATACTAGCTTCAAATAATTATAATATTTATTTATTGTAATACATATTCTACAGGTACATTAATGAATAATGCATTATTATGGTTATATTAAAATTATTTGAGTATTAGATTAGATTATTATAGTAATTTGAACATAAATCGAATAATTACAAATTTGTTATACCATTGTGTTTATATTTAATTTAAAGTAAATATATATAATGTTAACTCAATGCTCATATTTATAAAACTTTAAAACATGTTTGAAAATGTATTCATAATATACTATACACAATTCAGTTGATATATTATTATTATTTATTTATACACCAAACAGACATTTTTAAGATTACAATTATAGGCCAATAAAAAATTAGATAACAGTTGCATGGTAATAAAATTAATTTATAAGAATATAATTAATATTTCCAATAAAGAAAAGCATGATACTACCTTAAAATCCAAAATGTAGGTATGTAGATAGAATTGGTATTAGGTACTTATTTTATATTTAAGAGTCAGATAGTGTATAGCTGTAATATAAACTATAAACTATAGAACATAGAACCATTAAATTATTATGAATGACACATTTCAAAAATTTTAATTACTCGTATGACATGTGATGTCATTAAATAATGAAACTGTATTATATTATAATATAAATGAGGATTAAACTCTGTGATTAAACGCCAGTGCATCACTGATGATGACAACATATAATATACCTACCGCAATAAATGTATAATACTATAATATGATAAATTTATCAAACAGTTTGTGTTATAAATAATATTTATTTAATTTACAACTGCTAGTATATTGTACAAAATATCATAATCATAATTTTTGGAATTTGTAAATAAATATATTTAAATGAATAGGACCTACAGCGTTTCAAAAAACTAACTAATTTATACTTAGGAAACTAACTATTTATCATAATACATTAATACTATAGATTTTTATATTTCATAAAGGTACAGTTTTTAAAATAAAAAAGCACTTAAAAGTATAACAGAGTATATACAACATTTTAAATGGTTTTTTCATATCTCTATTCGTATATTAAGGGGATTCGATACCGTGGTTTCTTTTTTTTGTCTAACACACACGCGACATAGGATTTTAGATGGCTTCTTTGCCAAACATACCAATTGATCTAATGGAGCAAATTGATTTTAACTTCTCCAAAAATTAAAATACGGCAATTTTTAAATAGGTACTCTTTTTTAATATGACATTTTTAGGAATTTGGGAGATAATATCAAACATGCGGGAAAGTCGATTTCAAGTAGACTTGACGACAAATTCAAATCTGTTTTCGGAATTCTTATTGCTTTAATAGATCAATTGGAATGTTTGGCAAAAAAACGTCTAAAATACTATGTAGCGCGTGTGTTGTACAAAAACAGAAAATCACGGTATCGAATCCTCTTAATATTTTTTGAAATTGAATTGACATGATAATATACAATATTATTTAAATAACTTTATATATTTTCAATCCTATTTACTTCATAATAATTACTGCAAATAAAAAAAAAATAATATTAATTTCACATTATAATAATATTATCTATATACAACGGTAAACGTATAATATAAATATACAATAATAATATTATCCCCATAATTATTAATATTTTATATTAACGCTTAACGCAGTTTGAGGAAAATATTAATGTAATTATAGAACGAACGCTCTCGACTAATAAGAAGAACAATAATGCGATATGCCAACCTGTGCATACTTATGACTTTGACAATGATTTGTCCGGCAGTGAAAAAGAGATTTCCGACAATGGATCATTTGGTGGAGTCGGGATTTTTAATGCCAGACGAAAAGGCACTACTCGAGTCAATGGACAGCAAAACTAGTCACCCAAATTATTGGATGCCACTAGTATGGGCCGCTACAATTGTGACACAAGCCAAAAAGGAGGGATGTATCACGAATGAGTTTTCAATAAAAACATTGATTGATGAGATAGACAAGATCAGGTCGAATTGCGGTAGCTTGCTAAGCTACGATTGGATTAGTGTGCCACTAGTTTACACCCAAGTAATAATAATAGAATATATTTATATACCTACGTCCTACACTCATTACTCGTGGCACGAATAAGGGGGCTAGAGGGTCTTAGCCTTAGACTCCAAAACTCTTCCAAGTCCATCCAAATCTAGTTCTCATCAAGCAAATAGGTACTATAAGTAGGTAATAATAAGGTGAATATTTTTTTTACAATTTTAAAATTAAACCCAGTAAAAATGATTATTTAAAAATATATTGATTTGTAGTAGGTACAGTATTTTCTGGTAGGTGATATAAATACAGACGATAAGAATCGTTGTTTTGTAGGTAGGACAAAATGGCAAGATAATAATATATAATATGACTCAACTACGAACAATTTTATTTGATATAGGTACAATAACGGGAATAATAAATTCATAATTTTTAATTTCAAGCATTTTACTAATAGTATAGATACCTCATTACTCTCTAGCAGGAGCGTCATTTCAACTTTTTTTTTGTTGGTGCCAAAATTTTTGCAGGCCATTCAGATCATTACCAGGCCACAAAGAAATCTTTTTTTGGGGGGGGGGAGTCAAGTTATTTTTTTTTGTGTTATAATTTTATCAATTATAATACTGTGGGACCACAAAATCACATCAAACATTCTTGGAAATTAAACATTAGTATCTACCCCCCCCCCCAATGACGTCCCTGCTCTCTAGTATCTACTCTAACCTATTTTAAATTATACTACAATATTATAGTTAATTATTATTATTTATTATATTGAAATATATTTACAAATACCAACATTATATTTCTTTTCAAACGATCATGAGGTAAAACAAAAAAGGAATCATATTAATAACGTTAAACCTTATACCTACCTATATTTTATTTTTTACTGGAATGCAATCTATACATCAAAGCATTTAACCCACGTTTTACGAACATTTTTTAGTTAATTTGTTTATTTCATCAATATAAAAACATATAATCACACCTTTTCATCTTTAAATTATATAACCGTGGTTGCATGTAATTAAACAAAATAAATCTAATTTATCTTAAATTATTTTGTCCGCATTATTATAGTTTGAATATGTTATTTATAAACTAGTTAGTAATTTTTTTACTTATTAATTACTATCTATTTACTACTCTTTGTTAAGTGTATAACATGTTAAATAGCCAAATAGGTACCAAATGATATTAATTTGGGGTGGCTATAGTAATAATAAATTAAGAACTGAAGACCGCATGCTACTTATTTCTACAATTACAGTATAAGAACATATTTAAAATTTTAAACATAATACATAATAAATAAGAATAGTAATAACTAATGTCTAATAGATATAAATAAAATATGTATGCGGGCTTTTTAAGAATAACTTATAAATATTAAAAAGGTAGTTTAATATTGATGTGTACATCAATTAAGAGTAATGAAAAATATGGATTTTTGACTTCTGTATTAATTCTATTATATCCAAGTATAACTAACACAAATATCATCTGTCTAGAAAAGTTATATGAAGGTATATGAATTCAAATGGAAATTAAGTAGCTTTAGATCACAATATGTCGGTATTATTGTATTTTTTTATTCATTGGGAAATTTTTTTAACTATAAAATAACTACCATAGCTACTCTCTCTGGCTATCGACAAACCAATAGAAAATTATTTTATAGAAGTTACTTGTATAAAAATAAATAAATCCAAAAAAAAACTAGTTTGGAGTTAAAGTGCAATAAAAAACTCGTTTTAAATTAAATATGAAGTGGAGATTTTCCTTCAGATTTTTAATTTATTTATCTTTTATTTAGTATTAATTATTATTGTTAGTGCTGTACTGTACTTTCATCTTTGAAATGCAATCTAATACGAGAGAAAAGCGTCACTATGGAAACACTTTTGTCTTTTGACTGTTGTGTTAATTATAATTTCAGTTGAAAAGAGACGACAGGGTAATTAAATAAATATGTTGTTAGCAGCAAGAGAAGTCATTTGGTCGAATCCGAAGAATCGGAATTTTATATATAACGAACTTATAACCATAAAAAAAAAATAATAAATTTTATCGACAATATTTGTGTTAAAACTTTATACCAACATTCGGTAGATAATTTATGCAACGCGTAGATAATAGATATAATTTTAAAAACAACGAGCTATGGTTAGCGTGTATTCTGCCATAAAACTACAAAACGAAACAAGTACAACATAAAGCAGTATATTGTGTATATAAAAGAACATTAAAATACATTTTATATAGAAATTGAAATACGATTTTTATTTTTTTTTGTCATGAATAAATATAGTGATAGATAAATTTCTCTGATTGCAATCAATTGACGCATACAAATTCGTTATATCTATACCTACTATACTTCCTACATACAATAGTCTAATTTATATTTTATGTGTTATGTATTTATTCACATTGTATAACAACATTGACCAAAGTGTGTTATTTATTATTCTAGTAATAACAGTTCCGATATATTAGAGTCCCATATAGGTAGAATTATAGTTTTTCTCCTGGGACCGGAGACTTAACACGTAGTCTTTTATCGTAAAGGTAAAATATCTATTATACTTAGGTATATAGGATATTAGAGTTGAATAGAAGATTATATTTTATACGTGCAATTATTTCACTGCGAAAACATTATAATATTCACTTCTTATTTTTTAAAACACTTACCTAATTATTATTAATTTAAATTATAGGTATAGGTACACACCAATACACCATACAACATAACAATAAAACATAATATTATAGTATACCTTACTCTACCAATACCCATCTTATATTTTGTTTAAACGTGTTGGTATATAATGCATACGTAAGTTTTAATCTTATTCTTATATAACATAATTAGGTACATATTATAATTCTGTAAATATTCTGCAATAATATTATTGATGATGAAAAATAAACATAAAGAATGTTTGTGAGGGGAGGAAGGGTTCACCAGTTAACCCTCTCAAAAAATAGGTATGACAAGTATAATTATTTCATAGCTTGTAATATTATTTGTGATTATTTTAAAATTGGATTCTGTTTGAGTCTTTTGGTCTATAATTGGAATCAATCAATTTTATCTTTGGCCCGACCCATCTCATTCCGGAAACCTTTTTATTTTTATTTCAATAATAAATTCAACATATTTTTTTTATATTGTAATGATAAAAATATTATGTTTTATTAACGATGAGCAATCAATTATTATTTGGTAGGTAATAACTGTAACTAATGTCTAATAATATGATGTATTATCATTGTTTACTTCACAGTAAGTACATAGCTAATATTTAGAACAATTAGAATAACAATAATAAAAAAATCTATATGGAAATTCGTTAAAAATACTTGTTTGCACTATAGAAATATAAGCTTTATTTAAAAAAATTTTCACATCTAAATTTCTGGCAAATCTCCACATATGGGACTATAATAAATTAGTAGGTATACCTTACTAATTTAAATCATCTGATAACATTTCAAATATGTTAAAATATAAGACCTATTTAATGTGCAAAATACTTAATAATAATAATATAATATATAAAACTACATAATATTCTTCAACTGTAGCTCATAAGAGTAAAATTAACCAAATACCAGTTGCCCTCAAAATTACCATTTTTAATACAAAACAGCCTACAGCAAAATGCATCAGTTGCGCTCAAAATATCATTTTATATACGATCACAGTACCATAGGTGCCTGGCTTAAAATATTAAAGGTAAATATGTGACGGCGCCACGTCATTGACGGGGCTACAGATAGTATACTAGTATTCATTAATTTAAAAAAACATATAAATATGAAAGCAATAAATTCATTATTTTAAAAGATAATAACTGTACATTGTATTTTGACAAATTAAAATTAAAATCAAAAAAAATTGTTGTGTCTAAAATTACCCATGTTAATATAAAATGTCCCTCTTGTACGTGCAGGTGCACTATTTTACGTTGAGGACGATTGGTACCTATATTCAGTTCAGCAGTGGTGTTGTAGTTGTAATCACAACCCCATCGTCCGTGTTTATTTATTACAGGTATCTATGATATAACAAAATAGTGAAAGATAAATTATTTTACAATATAGTTATACACAGGTGCGTGGACCGGGGGGGGGGGGTTGTTTTTGGTATTAAAACGCCCCTCGTCGGTCATATAATCCAAGATATATTAAATTTGTGAACATCCCCCCCCCCACAAACAAGTTGTATTTAATTAGTAAACTAAAACACCCCCCTTCAAAAAAAATTCTGGCTACGTGCCTGCTATTGAGGACAACTGGTACATTTGGTGGAGGACAATTAGAACATTAGATCGCTGAGGGTGACTGGTCAACTCCCACAAAATAGGTAAGCCCAAAAAATATATTTTTTGACAACCCATATGAGCTCAAATAAATTTTAATACAATTTTATTGCAATCAGAATGATTATTGTTATAGCTTTTACAGTACTTATATAATATGTACCTTAAAATAAAATTGAAAAATTGAAACCCATAGTTTTTAAAAAGTCTAAACTCAATGTTTTTATATGTATTTACATGTTATATGTTTTAATATTGGAAATCACTGTAGAGCTGTGATTTGTCCATTTGATTGAAGTATTGAGTACATTTCTGTTTGGTGTGTTGTAAGTACCTACTTCATTAAAACCTCAAATGTATGGATATAGATTTAAAAACTGGTCTTTAACTTTTAAGTAACGCGGTGGTAAAATTATGGACAATTCATAGTCTTTGGCTCATTAGGAGGTGACTCAGCACAGAGGAGAGGTGGAAATCTGCAGTCAATTTCAATACAATTTGCTAAAATTAAATGAAAAAACTGATCTCAAGAAATACTTTAACTGAAGTAAAATTTCTTATTCATTTTTGTAGTACCTATTCAATTGTATGGCCCAATTTTCTAATTTGTCTCTTCCAAGCTTGTTAAAGCCGGGAACATTTAATTTGTACATTTGGAAAAAGCTTATATTTATATGGTCATGTAATTTTAATTATTATCATCGTTTTAATTCTTTATTACATAGGTAATGTTTTTATTAAATACTAAACTTTTTCATAAATATCAATTGTTTTTGAATATCACTACTTTGGATGCCACATTTTACTTGAACAGTTGAACATACATCGATTCATGTAGAATACGAATGTATAATGCTGTTAAAAATGAGCAGGGCAAACATAAAATGTACCATCGCCTTAACTAGTATCATTGTTATTGACTAAATATTCTACGCAATAAAACTAGCTAATAACTGAAGTCAATCACTTTTGTTTTTAAAACAGAAAAATACACTATATCTAGGTATTTAAGAACTCAATATAAATGAGCGTCAAATTTTAAACTGGAACTTTTAGTGCAAAGGATATAATATTGTAAAAGGTAATAAAATTTAACTTTGCACTTTTATCTCACTATTAAAAGTACCACCTAAAGTATGGTACAAAAGCACAATTAAATGTTGAACTTATGGGCTATTAAAAAATTAGATAATTTGAGCATTTTGGTACCTATATCTCCGTATTCTTCATTAGTTAAGACTTATACTTACCTCTATTTCAAATTAATCGATACTAATATATGGTATACCCACTTTTACAGGTAACGACATTAGCTGTGTATGTTTATTTTGTTGCTTCGTTAATGGGAAATCAGTATTTGGATCCGCGCAAAGGGTATCCGACGCATCCAATTGATTTAGTCGTCCCAATATTCACGTTTTTGCAAGTAGGTAAATAATAAATATGTAGGTATTCTAGAAACTCTATATACGTATATACACATATTATTTTCAGTTTTTCTTCTACATGGGCTGGTTAATGGTAGCAGAAACTTTGGTGAACCCGTTTGGCGAAGACGACGATGATTTTGATGTGAACTGGCTCATCGATAGAAACTTACAGGTGAACAAAACACACAATAATTGAGTATTAACCGTTATACGTAAGTACAGCTAGGTACCTATTGTTTTTGGACGAATCTAAGACGTTATACTATGAAGGGCAACAAGTCATAAAGGTATTGCCAAAATTACTGTTCTTCAGAAAAACGGTTTTTGTGTTATAACTATTGGGTATAGGTACATCTCTTAAAAATTTACATTTTACTATTTTATATTTATCCCTAAGAGTAAACCATACGGAATTTTACTTATTTTTGAAAGAAAATAGATCTTTATTATTTACATTTAAAATGGGTTTTTTCGTCCAATTTAAAAAAATCAGAATTTTCGGAAACATTGCGTTTTAATTAAACTTTGATAATAATTTGTGAAAATGTGAATTAATGTAGTAAAGTACTCATTTGTTTTTGTATTTTATAAATAAGATGATAATATATAATTATAATATTTATATTTTATAAAAACTATATTATATAGGCAGTAGCAATTTAAAGCAAAAGTTTTATAATTAATGTAAGTAGATGCACAAAAAAAACAAGAGTTTATTTTATATCATTAATCAAAATAAAAAATAATAGTATATTATATAAAGAAAAAATTTAATGATACCATTATTATAATATGATTGTACTAGTATTATTTTTATATTTTTATATTAAGTATAATATTTCAAAAATCACACTTTCAAAATCTTTATAAAATGACATTTACGTAACATAAATAAAAAAGTTGTAGTCGAACTCTGAACCATCATTTTTCATCTCATCGAACTCTAAAACAACTTGGAAGAAAAATAGTTTATTTGATCAGAATAAGGATTAAAGTTCAGTCATACAACTACTATCGGTTCAACGAGTTTCATACGACCATACATCTAAAATATATCAATAATTATTTAAACAGGATAAAAAAAATAGAAAATAAGCTTTCTACTAATATACGTAGATATAAGACTATTAGACTCGAAGTATACTGTATAGTTTATTAATTATAATTGCTTTTATATAAATTATCACCTGCATAATTTTCCTTAATAACATTAGTTTAAAAATGTTAGAGTACATCCATCATAATTCATAGTAACTATTATCACAATGTATTATATTTTATTAATTGGACGGACTTTATTACACTCTATATTAATTAATATACAGTCAATAATTATTATTTGTTAGTATTAACCGTTTCAGTTTGTACAATTTTACACTTCCTTAGAAAAACTAAAATAAAAAATTCCCTTTACTACCTATATTAAAATATCAACCTATTCCATAATAGAATATGCCGTAAGATGATATAGCCATATAGGCTATGAACCTATGATTTGTTAAGGTAATTTTCTTAAATTTATAAAATCAGCCAATATTTAGAGAATTGTTAAATGTGTTCTTGCTCGCATTTAGGTATCGTATATAATTGTAGACGAAATGCATCAAGAGTATCCGAAAATGGTGAAAGATCAATATTGGAACGAAATATTCCCATCGGAATTGCCCTACACAGAGGAAACTAAACACCTTCAGATAACTCCGTTTTTAGGATCAGCTCAGGCCATTGAAGCGCGAACTGAGTATAATGACAAAAAACCCACAGTTACCAGCTTAGATGAAAAAATGGTAAATCGTATGTTATAATTACATAATATTATTATGATGTGGGTAGGTACTTTATGTACATTATAAGGATATTATAACCAGGTATTATATGTATTTAATATATTTCATTTAAATAATTTAGAACAGAATATAGCAGTAATGTCATGGTTGCGAAAACTAGATAGAAACAATTTGTAAAATAATTAAATACATTAAAAATGTGTTATTTTAGATTCTGAGCGGAGCGAGGAAGCTAGTGGTTTTACAATGGTGTTTATTTTTTTTTTTTTTTGTATAATGTATACAAATTTTTTACCCCAAGGAGTTATTTGATTTCAACATATTATATATTATCTTATCAGTTATCTTTTAGAAATTTGGATCAAGATGATCATTTAAATAGATCATTTTTCAATTTTCTCAATAATTATTTAATACAACGGGAAAAACCACAGTCAATTTACGAAAAACCACTTAAAATGTGATTTTAATTTCTAACGCTTTGTTTATCACCACAGATACGAATAAAAAATAATAATATTATAATATAAATTCAACGTACAGTCTCTAATAAATAATAACAGTAGGTATAAAATATCCAGACTGACAAACCTTCTCAGTTCAAAATCGTTTTTTTTTATACAATGATACTAGGTATATCATTGAATTCAATTTTGCTATTGCTAGGTTTTTGTCGCTGCACATGAATTGCGTCCCGAAATCCTTTTTCCACATGAATTGCGTCCCAAAGATATTTAACGACTACACGAATTGCGTCCCAACCATATTTAAGAACTACCCGAATTGCGTCCCAACGTAAAAACATTATTTTCCTTCTCATTTCATACAGACTTAGGACTGTCGTTAGCAAATTACGACTATCGGTAGGTTAAAAAAAAGTTATAATTATAAAATTAAAAAATTGGTAAAAACTTGAATGATACTTTCTTAATATAATCAAGACGGGTTAATTGGCCACTTTCATATTTTGCCATATTTTGTCTTAGTGAATTTTCTTTTTCACATACCATCATTCGTCTGTTTTTAATTACATGAATACTTCGTTGTTTAATATAAGTTTCTTTTTGTACATTTTTTAAAACATCTATAAATTGAAATATATTCGGGTGTGCTGAGTAAAACATACTGTTAAACTTGGAGTGGAAGGCTTCACAACTATTCGTAGTTCGAATTATAGAACATGAGTACATTGCCCATACAGAAGGCGGGAAGTCACAATCAGGCTTTATGTATGTATTTAATATATAATCGGAAAATTGCTGTACTTTTTCATTTTCGGGTAAAATGGATACAATATCGTCAGTAAAACAATCCTCCACTTCATCTGGTTTTAAAAATGGGAGACCAAAAAAATATTTTAAAAAAATACTGATATCTGAATTTTTTTTGTATTCTTGACTTAAACCAACCGTTTGAATTTTAAAACAAACGTTTACACCAACAACACGATCGAAATCGAACTAAAATTATTATAGGCTTTACAGTACGTTTATCGTTCATGCAATCGTTCATACAAAACCGGACGCAATTCATGCAGTAGATTAGATAATGCCGGACGCAATTCGTGTACCCGCTTATCAATTTTTTTATTTCGGGACGCAATTCGTGTGTAGCCGTTTTTGTGATTATGCGAGAAGTATATTATCAGGTATTCAGGTAGGTATCTACCTACTGTAGATAGCGGACCCCATGTAGTGCGTAGGTATCCGTATATTAATATAACTGTAAAGCAGTAGTTCTCAACCGGGGTGACATGTCACCTTAGGGTGACATGGACCTAGCTTAGGGGTGACGCAGAATTTTAACAAGAAAACAATCATATATTATTTCTTATAATAAATATATTATACACCTATACCACCACTGTCATGTACATAACATACCTCAAAGTTCGTATCTTTATAATAGTTTGTATTATTTATATTTAATCTTTTAGTCCGATAAACACGTGTACCTAGTTAGGGTGACGCAGTGTTTGATTCTAGTGGCTAAAGGTGACATGAATCAAAAAAGGTTGAGAACTACTGCTGTAAAGTATCAAAAAATTCAAAAAATTGGTCCACCGAAACCGTGGTTTGAACATAACATTATAAACATAAATAATAATAGGTAATAATACTAATCTCAAAATCCCTGTTTGAGAACTTCCCCTGGTTAGGCCTCTTATTTATCTTTTTTGCAACAAAATGTAGCCTATATCTTCTTCCCCGAAGTTTTATCTATCTGTGTACCAAATTGCATCGCTATCGGAAGAACGGTTTAGAAACGAATAAAGGGCATGTCGCACAGTGTTTTTAAATCGAAAAAAGCTGGAATAAAGTCTATTAAAGAAAAAATTGTTTTTAAATTAAAATTATTGCAACTTTCTATTATCCTACTTGTTGAATAGTGTATTAAAAAAAATTGTCAAAAAAATTAAATTTTCATTGATAAAATCACTATTTTAAGTTGAAAAAGAAAGAAATTTAGAAAATGTTTAATAAATTATCACAGTTTGTATATCATTAATAAGTAAATTCTAATACAGTCGATTCTGCTTAATAGAGACACCGGTTAATAAGGACAACCGCTTAATAGGGACAATTCTTCAATTACAAAAACAAATGTATACTTGTAGGGTAAACATTCACCGCTTATTTGGGCCACGAATCCGGATAATTGGGACATTTTTATCGAGTATATTAATAGATCAATAGTTCAACAATCGTGACGGACTCTCGTAATCGATTATTACATTACATTTTATCTTATTTAACTTTATTTTATCTTATCTTTTATCGTATGTTCAAATGTGATAGTTGTTAAATGTTATTTGGTGCAATGGTGCATCAGTCGTGTTTGTCGCGTGTAGCAACGATGGCTCGTGTACGTAAAGATTTATCGTTTGCTCAAAAATTAGAAATTCTGGACAAAATTAAATTACAGCTACCAGGCTGTAATACACGTCGTCTTTCGGAAATTTTAGGAGTACCGAAATCAACAGTTTTTTAAATAAGATAAAATACATAATAAAAAAATAAAAAATATTTATATGTACTTCATATGTAAGTATTTTTATAAATAATTAGGTTATATCATGTTTTTCTTTTTGTACTATCAAATAATTTCTATAATACATTGTTTGTAATTTGTAATAATAAAAATATATAAAACAAATCAGTTTTTCAACAAATTTATATGTTGGTTTTTGTATTTCGGATTATTGGGACAACCGCTTTATTGGGACAAAATAACACCCAACCGATGTGTCCCAATAAAGCGGAATCGACTGTACCACGATTCTGAACAAAGTTGTTAAATATTTGTTAGTGTATGGGGTATAGGTTTGTATACATTTATTTTGGCAACAATAGTCTTATATTCTGTGATAATTCTGACGTTCAATAATTATATCAGCAATATCTATTAGTGATTAAAATAAAGAAAATAAGAGATTTAAATAGACTTATCCCGTGTTCCCCATCCATTTTCATATTTTATAATAGCTTACAATCTCTGCATTAATATAGTGCAGTAGAATTTGGTTTCACATGTATGCTCCATTCTCAGTTACCTACTACAGTAAAAGTAATTTTTTATACGCCAATTTAACTCGTAAGTTTTATATCTTCGGATTCAAAATAAGCGGACCTCATGAAGTAAAGAGAAAAAAAAGGTCCTTTAAAGTAGGTAGAAAAATTATTTGATACAAACATTTCAGATACTGACACAGATGAAGACGAAGACACAGTGCCGGATCTAAGTCTCAGGGGGCCGGGGTGCAACTACCAATGGAGGCCCCTTAAAAAAAAAATTTCTCGACTTTACAATTATCTATTTATTTGATACGTTTTGTCGTATTGATATATTAAACAAACTAAAAAACACAAAATTTAAATTCCATAATTTAATAGGTAAATAAAATTATGAAATTATACATTCACTCACTGTTCTCATATCTATTATACCACGCTTAGATATTATGATGTATTAATCATTAATGTATGCTTCTATGCTAGTATAATATAAATTAAGAATAAATATCATTAATATGATATTGGCTGTATATTCTCTATATTGTCCTAAAATGAAAGGACCCAAATATGAATCAGGTACCTCAGTTACCTGAATTGTATACAAAATTATTCATCAATCCTTTATATTTTTTTAATTCATTGTTTTGAACATTTTTCTCCGTCTTTTAGATGAAACACTTTCAAATTGTCTGTTAGACGTGTTTTTTTTTCAAAAGTCAATAAAAGATAGTGTAGGTAGGTACCTAATTTGTATTTTTAATAATCAAATGAAAAATCAATATAATAGAGTAGGTACTCAAAAATAAAACTGACAAAAGTACAAAATAACATATCTGAAACCAATAACACTGCATCAAGGCGAAGGCATGTCCGTAAATCATAATCCATTTATATTAAACAATAAATACATAATATAACCACGGTTACATTATTAGTTTGTCCAGCAAGATACTGCACTAGCGCGAGTTCACGAGCCTCTGAGATTAAATATATAGTACGATTATACGAAAATAGTATACGATGCATAAGTACTATATAATATAATTAATGAGTATACAAATAAGTAAAACAAACAATAACGCAATGATAAATAGTATTACTTATCTAAAATTCAAACCGTCCAAAATAAATGGTTGTCACTTGTCAGTAACATCTTAAAATAATAAAATTTGTTCATTTTATAATAAAAAGTTATAGAAGGTTAGAAAATTTAGGACTTTAACCTTAGGCCCCTAATACAACCTTGGTCTTGAGGCCCCGGTGCAATGCACCCCCTGCACCCCCGCTAAATCCGGCACTGCGAAGACATGGATGCTGAATACCTAGTCTTGAATTTTCAAATATGAACTAAATAACTAATATTTACCTGTTTTTTTATTTATTTATTGCCAAATATGAATAAAAAAATTAGAATGTATGTGCAAATATATATAATTAATGATCCTATAGTTTTTGGTTTTGTATAATGTAACATTTGAAAATAATTAGTTTAATCCAGCTTTTTCGATTTTAAAACACTGTGAGTCGGTAGCAAAAAATGTTCGTTTTTTTGTATAATATATAAATTGTATAGGCAATATTATTATGTAATAGTTTTATACTATAACAGTAGGTATAACATGTGTAACCATTAAATTTACGATTTTTTAATTTTACAATCTTTATAAAAAAGTATACAATATGAACACAGCTTTTTGTATCGAGAACAATTTCTCTAATAGTAGGCAACCAATTAGTACTTAATTGGTTAAAAATTATAAACATTACATTTATATACATTATAATTATAGGTCACTGTTCAGGAAACAAATGATAAACCGAAAATAAACACTGAATTTTCAAACAACGCGATGTCTTCGTTAGGGAAGGAATATCATAAAAACGTTTACATACATGATGATTATTACAATAATTTTTCAGGTGAGTACTTAGAAAATTCAAAGTTAATTCAAATGACAAACTTTTTATTTTACGTGAAAGCCAACTCTAAAATAATCACAAAGCACTGATCTGGAGTTCTGCAGTAATTACGGACTCCCCGTAAGTCGTAACATATGACGTACCCTTTAAAGGTACCTATACCTATATAACGAGCCCGGTGTCGTTATAACTCTTCTTCGACTACTTTTTTTATGTGTAACTATGCTATAATTTTGTAAAATTATTATTGAACAAATTGCACACTAAGATTTGCCCATAATTATTTTAACTTATGAATGTTTTATTTTTATAGTCCGAAAAATGGCAACAATCGTCCATCATAATAAACTTGCGTAAGATAATTGATAGGTGTTAGGTATAGGTGGTACCCACTATAAGTAGGTACCTAGGTAGGCATATTATTAATACCTATAATAATAATAATAATAATAATAAATTAAAAACAGGTAGGTAGGCACCTAAAGTTAGGTACTAGCTACTATAGAAAAGACTTTTATCATTTATGCACTAAAAATCATCAAATATGCATTTAAATTTTAAATAGCACTTTTGCATATAAAAATTAAAAATATAGTTAAATATGCCCTAAAAAAATTACCCGCCCATATTACACTAAAAATTAATTTTTTCTTTAAATATTTTATTAATATTCCTAATATTATAATTTATCAAGTTGATGCATTAATTAAAATAATATATATAAGCTAAAATAAAATTACTCAATACATATTTTTATTAATTTTAAAAATTGGAGGTACTTTTAGGTACCTACTTGTTCAATTGTCTAAGTACCTATAGGTACTTATATATAGGTATAAAAAAACCAATAAAACAGCCAATACAGATCTCATTCTTCATTCAAATTTAATATAATTGTTGACCTTGATTAATGAAAAATATTTACCGAAGTGCTTGATATTTCGATAAACAATCAAAATGTGCACTAAAAACTCAGAATATGCTCTGATAATCAAAAATATGTCCTTAAACCCAAAAATGTCAAAATTTGCAAAAATATACACTAAAAACTTTGAATATGGGATCACAAGCGTTGTGAAATTGCTGGGGCATAACACTTTTAGAGGCGCCTATCACCTATAAAAAAAACGTGATGCTTTCCGCATAAATTCTTTCACTGTAATGTGTTGTGTACCTACTTACCATTCATACGATAAAGTTAATCAAAAAAAATATGCAAATATCTACATAAGAGTCCATGTTGTAGACTTACTACCAATATGGATTAGCCGACCAATGTCCAATACTATCTATTGCATATTATATATGTAGACGTAAATATAATATTGTATAAACTATATTGCAAAATATCGAATAAATCATTTTGCCACATTGGTAATTGCCGTATATTGTATATAGGTAATATATTAATATAGGTGAGTACCTACAGCGTACAATTTTAAAGCTCTATCCCTGGGGCCTGGGAACACATCTAAATAAATTGACGTAACGGAATCATTCGTCAGCCTTTTAAAAGTATATTTTATTAAATTTTTTTATTTTTATACCTACTTTTTAAATTGTAAAAACGCTAAAGCTTTAGATGTAATACTGTAATTATGTCCTAAAGCTAATTGAAATTGAATTACATTCCCCCTCCTGTAACCAAGATCATAAGTACTTACTTGGTACTCTTGTCTCTTATACATTCTTTATATTAATTTCTTGTAATATTATATCAGGTAAAGAAAAAATCAACCAAGAACAACGTGCAAATTATTTTGGGGAATCACTAATTTCGTTGACGGATTACAGTCGTTTGCAACGATTACAGAGCACATCAACTCAAACCCAATATATCTCGAGGTCTACGCCATATTCGGTGGTGGGTCAAATATATTATATTATTCCAATGAATACCTATGTATAAAAATATTGAAATAATCTGAAAACTTATTATATTTATTGTTTATTGTTCACAGGCGAGTAGTTGTAGCGATGATGAGAGTGACCAAGAGTATCAAATATAATTATTATATAGGTACTATAGCACAGCGAAATGTCTGTATTAATTATAATATAAGAATTGAATTAGGTAATATTTAATATATATTATAAATAATTATAATGGAAGTTTTCTTAGTTGTTTGGTTATACTATAAGCAACTTGTCATAGACTGCAATATAATTACTAATTAGGTACAATTATAAAAATATTTTAGTGTATATTCCTTGTACCCTAAACTCTAAATTACTTGATATAGTGTTGATATACTGGTAACAAATAACAGATTGTTTAATTTAATTATTTACACAATACCCGGTACTTAAGGTTCCCGGTGCCAATGTAATTTTGTCCACAAAAATATCTATATCTTTTATCGTGATATTAAGTAAATATTAAGTATTAACATTTAACACACAGCAGACATGAGGCTTCATTTAGCCACCCGTAATCCGTCCAAAATAAAATGTTCGGTGGGGGAGTTAAAAGTTCCAAAAATCCATGAAAATGTCCACAGCATGTATTTAGGATATAGGTACTATTAATAGGTACTATGTAACTATATAAGAACTATAGGTACCAGGGGCGGATTGGGCCACCAGAAATTTGGGAGTTTTCCTGGTGGGCTGCTACTTCAAACAACTATGTATTTTAAAATATAAATTCTTAAATACCTATTATCCTCATGAGCAGTAAATTTGCACTTTTTTTTTTATTTTTCAAAATACAATCGGATTGCGGACAATATGCAAACAGCATATCAGGTTGAGTGTAGACAATAACGGACACAACGATGAGCAACAAAAAGCAAAAATAGTATTTTTTGAAAAGCCAAAATAACATAAATATTTGCCAATTTGTTTGTAATACACTTAACAGTACTTTAATATGTTGAAATGACAGCCCCCGTTTATATTTAAATTGGGAACAGACTATAAACTTAAAATTAGTTACCAACTAAATAAATTGTATTTCTCTTCCAGTTTTAAAACTACTCTGCTTTTTCAATTGTTATCAAAGGAAAAAATAACATTAAATCTTTTATTTTGTTAAATTCTTTATAATTTAAGTTTAAAATATTCAATTTAAATCAATACTTTATAGTCTTGAAATTCATATATTATTCAATTACTTTTTTATTATCATTACATATACCTAAGTAAACAATATGTTCTTAATCCTAATTAAATAATATTTTTACATGCTAATATCAATAAGTTAATGTAATAAAATAATATGGTAATACATCAATGATAAAATATTACAACTACAAATGTGATGAGTCATGTCCATTATTCAATGTAAAATATTTAATCTAATTAACATTATCAATGTACATATGACAAAATAACTAAATCATTTATTAGAGTAGGCATTGATCTTTTAATAAACAGAAAAACATCAAACAAATATTACAACCACAAATGGAAATATTTGAAAACCACATCTCCCCAGCAATTATATATATACTGTCCCTTCTACATATATTATAGTAGACACACACTGGTGGCCCCGATACAGTTGGGACATTTGTGGTCTGCACCTTTTTTGTGCTGTTTGCTATTTACCCGGATATCAAATTGAAGGTACTATATATATTATATTCAATATAGTATATACTATATATAAAAATGTGTATCCATATAAGTACTGGAGAGTTTAAAAGTGTATTATTATTGGATACATTTGTACCGATTTGTTGCTCTATTTGGTCGTGTATGGGTATCATTATCGATAATGTTCACTCAGTATTTAGTAATTAGTATAGTACACCTATATAGTGTTATAAAGTACTTGAGTAAAATTATTCAAATACTTTTTAAGTAATCAAATACCCATTTTACATATTTTTGTAGAAAACTGTATTTGTATTTAAAATAAAGTATTAATTTTCAAATACATTAATAACATTTGTCCTTATATATTTTCTATTTCAATTTTAATCACAGAAAATAAAATGAAAATTGTCTGAGAATTATATATTTTTACTTTGAATTACTGCCAGTCCTAAGCTTGGAAAAGAGAGCAGGGAAGTTAAAATATATGTTAATATATATTATTGCATAATATATTTATTATTTAGTATATAATTTAATATATATAGTGCCCTAAATTTGATACTCGGTTAGATAAAAATAAGTTGACTGCAACTGGCCAGAAAAAGGAACTGACAGCAAATGTCCTGACCGCATATTTCTCAGAACCGCAATTACTGTTGCTAACAATAAACCAGTTACCTTTTTTTGAACAGTTGTACAGTTGTACGTAGCACATCAGTATATAATAAAACCAATAATTGTATACTGTAGTATGCATGTTATTAAAAATATCAAACAAATGTTTACATATAAACTTAAATAACACATAAAATAACTTATATTAAATGTTAGGACTTGCAAAAAAGCAAAAAAAAAAAGACTAGAATTTGTTGACGTGCTGAGGCGCTTCAGTCTCCAAGGGATTGCCTTTTAGTATAGCTAATATCATGCTAAAACAAACAAAATTATTTATTGATAAGTCATTTAGATAGTATTGATTAAAAACATTCTATCTAAAATTCTAAAACTACTTAATTATTAAAGTTCTAAAATGTAAATGATTATATTAAATAAATTAATATTATAATTTAAATAAATGTAAATGTATTGAATAATGTTAGTAAACATTTTTAAATCAGAAACTTATAAAAATAAAAATTATATTTTTTGATTTTAGAAGTTACTGGATTTTAAATGTGACTTAGAGTGTACTTAGAATATCTCATCAAAAATTGATTTTATTTATATTTTATTTTACATAGGTAACTACATAAAAGTAGGTTATTATAACTATGTACCTATCATTTGAAATACAATATAATAATATATTATTTGCACAATAATAGTTAGAATAATTGCAACGGGATTTGTAACCTTAATAATTTTGAACATAGAAAGCCATATAACCTAGTTATAAAGTTACACTTCCTTAATAGTTAATTTTGTGATATTTGAAATAGAATAAGATTTTACACAACATAGGTTTTGTTTTTACTGTATAAATAATATTTACTTACAAATATAAATAGAAGAAAAAAGTAATGAGATACCATCCAGTAAATATTACAAAATTACGCATATGCTTTTTTAATTGCCCACGATGATGAATCTCGGTTGGGTCAAATAATCCTGTATTTCCTCTAGGTACAGTGACAAACCTGTGAAAATTATTATGGAATAACACTTTAAAAAATTTGTCTAATATTGAATAATATGTATCAAATGCTTACTCATAAATGACCCATGCAGCAGCTGGTATATTTACAAGGGTCATCCATAAATTGCCATCAGTCAAAAATCCTACAACTATTATTGTTTGTGCAACAATTTTTGGTCGTACCCACTGAAAAAAAATTAATGTATTACTTACAATAAACATATTAATTTAAAAAATGAAGTTTAAAATCCTTGAAATTAAAAACATTAAAGATTGTTGATTATCATAAAAAGTATGACATAGAAGTGTTTGTATTGGAAATAACAGAGAGGAATGTTATGAACTTTTACTAAAATGATGCAGAATCGTTAACATGTAACAAGTCTCAAAAAAGCTAAAATTATTTTAATACTTTTAAGTAAGTTAATACAAATAAATTCTTCATTTAAACTAAAACCGAACTAGTCAAAAAATATTAGTTATTAATTGTCATAGAAAAAAAAAATAACCTATTAAATAATAGAACATTACTGAAATTAAATATTAGGTTAAAACATTCTGTTAGTATCCTAAATGACTTAAGAGGACGTGAGACCCGCATGGGTTGTCTCCGTCTTACAAGTGCGTAACATAGCAAGTTCTAAGCAAAGCAGAACACGTGTAGCTCCGTTAGTTTAAAAGTTAGAGTGAATTGACCTCTTATAAAATCTAAAGATTATTATCTAGACAATCCCATGGGTTTTTTATTATATTTTAATTTATAAGCGAGCTATGAGTATTTTAAAATTATAAATTGTTTATAGATCTTAAAGTACTCATAACTAGCTTAAAAATTAACAAATTATAAAAAGCCCATGAGGTTGTCTAGATAATAATCTTACCTTTAGATTTTATAAGAGGTTAATTTACTCTAATTTTTAAATTAACGGAGCTACACGTGTTTTGCTGAGCGTAAAATTTGCTATGTGATGCACTTGCTAGACGGAGACAACACATGCAGGTATCACGTCCTCTTAAGTTCGGATCACACACCAATCCTTTTACCTATGATTGTATTAATAGAATGAAATCCTCCACATTCATAATTATCTCAAGACCCAATCAAATGGGACAACAAATTTTCCAAAATTATTCAAAACACAACTCACCTTAATATATTTTAATATTGCTCCCTTAAACAGTAGATTTAAAGTTTTTTTTTAAACTACTTCATAGTTTTATTGATTTCCCAGGAATTTTAGAACGTATTAACTTCAAAGTAAATGTAAATAATTCAAGAAATAAACATCATTTTTATTTATCAATCATTAAAACTAACTACATGTCTTACTAACCTGCTATTATATTAATGTCATGTAAAAACTTTTTCAATAACTTGGACCTGTTCAATATTATGACTCTTTAAATTGCTATTTTTAGATTATTACTGAACTTTTAAGGGGATTCAATACCGTGATTTTCTGTTTTTGTCTAACAGACAAGTGACATAGAATTTTAGACGTGTTTTTTGCCAAACATTCCAATTTATCTATTAAAGCGATAAGAATTCTGAAAACAGATTTGAATTTCTCGTTAAGTCTGCTTGAAATCAATTGTCTCACATGTTTGATATTATCCCCCACTTTCCTACTAATGTCATATTAAAATAGTAAATTTAAAAATTATGAGAAACTATTGGAGAAGCTAATATCAAAAAATCATAATGTGAGAAAGTTGATTTCAAGTAGACTTAACGTCAAATTCAAATCTGTTTTTAGAATTCATATTGCTTCATTAGATCAATTGATATGTTTGGCAAAGAACCAGTCTAAAATATTATGTCGTGGGTGTGTTAGACAAAAACAGAAAATCATGGTATCGAATCCCCTTAAATTTAATTAAGTCAATTAGTTGTTTAATAAATTGTCAAATTTTTAATTTATAACAAGTATGTATATATATATATATTTTTTTTTTTATTTTTTTTTTTTTTCTATTATTTGTTTTTTAGTATAACGTACGCATTTACTTACAACTGTCATTGAGATATTATTGTAAGTTGGAATTTTATTCCGTTAATAAAATATTATTATCGTACGTCCTTGATTAACTATATTGAGTCTCTAAACATTCCTCCCACTCTCCCTTCTATACTTAATACTAAGACTGAAATGGTCATTATAAAAATAATTAACTTCCTTTTGGAAGCTGGTTTTGCTATTTAAGGTACATTATCTAGTTTTTTATCACCTAATTTATATTACTTTTCTTGTTATCAATCTTTTATTGTTTTTATTCATATAAGTCTTTATTTTCTGTATAATTTTTATCTGTATTATCTGTATTAACTGTCGAGCTATTAAAGTTTTTTACTAAAGGCTAATAAAAAAAAAAAAATAAAATATTATTATTATTATTATTATATGTCTTAAAAATAAGGAAGATATAGAAAACGCTGCTCAATATCTAGTAACATCAATACAATCTGCTATATTTAAATCCTTACATCCAAAAAACCAATCATGTAAAACCAATATAAACAATCATCTCTACCTGCAAATATTATTAATCTGATCTCAGAGAAAATGCAAAAATCGCACAGCTCTAGGTGTCAAAAATATCATTATCCATCTGATAAAAAACTGTTTAACCATCTAGTAAACACTTTAAAAAAATCAATATTAAACTCAAATCTGAATTTTTTTAAATAAAAACCATTCACTAAACCAATCTGATGGTTCTCTTTGGAAAACATCTAAAAATTTACTTAGAATAAAAGAACAACTCCCTCCCATAACTGACTCAGACAGCTCCTTGGCCATCACCAATATTGAAAACAAAAATCTATTAGGTAAATACTATATTATGTACAAAATATTTACGCCACACACTTATATAATACCAAACTCTGAACACTTAGAAATGGTCATCAAATGAAATATTATTTTTAATTAAAAAAAAGTTATAACTAAAGACCGGATTTATATGTTTTTACATATCGTTACTGGGTCTATGCAGTCTTATGAGAGTAAAAAATGTGGACGATTCGTTCAATTCTGAATGCGTAGAAAAAAGTTTTTTTGCATATTTGAGAATATTTCATGGGTTGGAGAATATTTAACCCATTTAGCATATTTTAGAATATTTCTTAAATTGTGAGCAAAAATTTGTATTTATTTTTAATTTTAATATTACGGTACTCTGAAAAAAATTGTTTGACCATTTACAATTTATTTTTTTTTTTTTCATTTTGATAAAAATAAAACAAGCAGTATTATCAAGGTTTATCTGTGTATATCTACTGATAAGATCAACTTATAAGTTTATCAAATATTCAAAATTCAAATATCAAAATTTTGTTTTTGTGCTTTAATATTATACTGTTATATATTTTATATTATATTCCAACTTCCTACTCTTGCTAAAATGCAATACTATTCCATTAGGTATAATACGCAACTCTTAATACCAAATTAATATCTCACTATAAAATATAGTTGAAGAAAATTTTAAAAAATAAATGCATATTAAAGCATATAATGATGTTTTTTGATTATTTTTGCATATTTTAGCATATTTTTTAAATTTTTGAGAGAATATAATGAGAATATTTGAAGGGTTCTTAGAGAATATTAGCATCATATTTTCGGTATTTTAAGAGAATATAAATCCGGTCTTTAGTTATAACTTATGAGTTTCAGGGTACACACCCTAAATTGATTGAGATTTACCAAGCTAAAATAATATATCAAGTTGGGTTCAATCACTGGTTGGCCTCCCTCCTCATATTATTCAAAGTTAAAATAATGTAGGTACATAAATTATCAAATTTGCTTATTGTGTTATTCTAATAGAGATTGTAAATATTCTTTATAAATAAAAAATATTAGGTACCTAGGAATAAACTTGAAACATACTCAATATTGTTACTTATTCAATATATAAGAACAGTTCTTATAGTTACTATATATGTCATTATTTTTTATTTTTTTTAACACTTTAAACTAAATAACTAATAGGTATATAATATGCTTACAAAATTCAGTCTGTTACAACATTCTTGAGCATTTAAATAATCACATTCAAGATCTGACAGTGTTATAATCTAAATAAAATATTTGCTAAGAAAAACAATAGGTAATAGAAACAAACTATATAATACAAATACAATAAAATTAACATGCCTAATTACTTACAAAAATTTATAATAACTTAAAATAATAGATATATTTAAATATATGATTTCTAAGTTCCTCCATAGAAGGTTTCTTCACTTTGTAACCATGTATTTTTTTTTCTTACACGCCATATTCAATTATTGTTCAACTTATTTGAACAGATTATGAAATAAACAACACTTAAAATTAAATACAAAATATTGAAGTAGGTACCTAATTTTAATATAATAGTGTTAATACTTAATACTGTTTCAGATAACCATTTGACAATTGATTGTTTAAGGTAGAATATATTGAATGAGTATCTACTCATTCAATATATGGTACCTCTATTGTAAATTAATTTCAATAAGTATGTTTCGTTGTGAATTTTTTATAGGTAATTGAGAGTAACTATATATATATATAAATTTGTTTTTGAATTAAGGGTCTCGGTGCCAGTTTTTTAAAGTTTCCACAATTCTGTAAAATTTGAAAATTTAATTTAATATTTTAGTTGCCACCTCAATTATAAGACTTTTCCACTAATCTACTACCCGATTCTATTTAGGGGAGGTTGATAAGGTGTATTATATCGAAAAAAATTACTTTACTAGAATTACTCTCAAGCTTTGTAGAATTATCGGATTTTGATGACTATTTTTTATCTGAAAGAAGAAGACTTCCTACAGCCTGCATCAATCTCTGATTTTGTATTTTGTTTCAAATAATTATATTAAAAAACTTGCAAAAAAATGCTTTTTATCTTGTATCTTTTTAGACATATTATAAAGTTTGAGAATAAAATATTAAAAACCGATATCGATGCGGGCTGTAGAATATTTCCCTCTAGCAATCAAAAAAAAAATATGAAATTAGGTTGATTCTACAAGGCGGTATCGTTATTCCCGCAGAGTGTATTTTTGAGGACTAAATTGCATCGGCACCGAACGCCTTAATGAATATGTTTGGAAACCTTGTTTTGTACATTTTAGGTACCACCTACCTAAGTCATTTTAATTAAAATTTCATCAGAATCCTTTTTGCAGCTATTTTTAGAATAGTGTTTTAATCAGCTCCCACATACCATTTAATTTTTTTCTTTGATGCAAATATCCAGTGTTGATAAAAGTTTACTTTCTTTTAAACATTTCAGACAAGTTTTTTGGTTATAAATTATGAGATGGTATAAATATCTCATTGAGGAGTTTTTGATTCTTCAAAAAACCACACAATTACTATAAAATTAAAAAATTAATACATTTACATGAACATAAAGTATGCTAAAAATGAAGTGTTTACAGTATAATATTATTTAAACATACCCACCGATAATTTAATCAGAGAAATACCGAACTTGATTACAAGCCTATACCCCAGATTGTTGACCGCGTATTTACAGTTTAAGTATTGTAGTATTTCATTTTCTGTATTTTTTATGTTGAAAATAATAAATTTGTAAATATTATAAAGCAACAAAAATATGAAAAGGGCAATACTTGTTTAAGCTTAATAAATAAATTATAAAGAAATCTGAAATGTAGCTTTACTAAGTTTTTAAGTTATGTTTGTTTGCAGAGCATGTGCTCAACACATTTTCTTTATAATGTGAATTTAAAAATTAAAATAAAAGTATTTTTTACATACCTATATTATCCTCCAAAGTATTATCAACATAAATAAATTGTTTCGTCCAACAGAATAACACTAATTAGACTATAAGTTTTAACATACTAATTGTAGATATAAAAGTAAATGTAGGTGGCATACTTAACCATCAAATGTTGAGAAGGTAGCATACTTAAAGATTAGGTACCTTAATAATCAATAATCATTGAAATAATATTATACAACATGTTGACTGGTAAAAGGATACAGAGTAAACCATAAGGAATAACAACGCTCCTGTCATGAACATGGAAAATGCATAGATCAAAATTTCCCACATTATATTATTAGTGCTTTCTTTCAAGATGTTTTTCCTTGGCAAGCGCTATGAAATGCGTATGTTAAATAACTTCAAGACGAGATTCACAGCATACTTAAAAATTACACCTTGAGCACCCAATGGTTAGTAAAATACAGAACTTGATAACTATGGACTAGTGAAGCATACAAAAGTTTTCAACTTTTCAAGTTTTCAAGACTATACTGAAAAGAAACGAATTCATTCACATTTTACGCATACGAAAAGAAAAATATTTAAAGAAAAATATTAATGATCAAAAAGTTAAATATGAAATATTATAACTATTATAACTTTAAACTTATACTTTATTTAATTAAAAAAAAAAAACCGTGCGTTGCTAAGCAAATGTTTGGTGATAATATTATAACAACAGTGTTATCATCTATTGTTTGGTGTTATCATTTAATCTATTCTGTGGTCTTATCCTCTATGGTGTTATCACTATGAACTCCCACTATGAATAATTGAAGTTTAAACTTTCAAGCACAGGAATTAACTGTCATGATAATGGATAAATAAGTTAACAAGTAATAACTATAATAATAATCATTAATTTTCACTTAGATGGAATCAAGATTTGTTGGTGTCTGAACTATGGCAAATGAAGAGCGATATCTTCCACCGTGGATGACAGAAGAACAGGTAAGAATACTGTATACCTATCAATTCCTTATTCTTCTATCCTATTCCCAAGTTGCTTAAAAACGTTTGTAGACTTGAGTTGTATAATTTTCTTTATACCTTCAAATCCATATTTGATCAAAATTTAGTTTACTGTAAATTTTGAAGTTTTTATTTTTTTTTATTAATGTCAGGTTATAAAAAATACAAAAGAATTTTTGCAGTTTGAAGGACAAATTAAACAATGCATATATCCAAATATGTTAGCATCGTATGCAGAGGACATTTTGTAAGTTAAAAGTGTTTCACAACTCATTGTATCATATATTAAATTACAGTGTGTAACAGGAAGACCTGACCGATAAAATAACTTTTGTTCTAATCAATATTTTTAAATTTTTTTTTATGTATACATAAATATTTTTATTTTAGATTCTGAGCGGAGCGATGAATGTATTGGTTTTACAATGATGTGTGTTTTTATATTTTTTATTTTTTTATTTTTATATTTTTTATTTTTTTATTTTTATATTTTTTATTTTTTTTGTGTCTGTCATCACGTTTTAGGACAGTAAAAGTGCTTGGATTTTCTTCATCAGTAGCTTTTCTGATAGGAAAGTGAATCTAGTTGGTACTTTGGGGGGTCAAAAGTAAAAATTTCACAGTAGTTTTCACAAGCACCGGGAAATACAAAAGAAAAATTAAGGATAAACGGGAATTTTTACGCAAAATCTGTTTTCGAGAAAATCGATTTTAACTTATGATGCAATAACTCTAAAACAAATGAACGTATATACATGAAATTTTCACTGGTTGTTTATATTTGCATTTTCTATACACGATAACATTTTCAAAATATTTTGATTTATTTTGAACTGTTTAGGGACATTTTCATTTTCCATTTTTTTTAGTTTTTTTTCTAGAAATATCAATAAAATTTTATTTGTTGGTTGCGAAAGCTTGAAAATTGAATAGAAGGCTCCTAGTATATTGTTTCAAAGGCAGATGAAAAATTTTAAAAATCGTTAGTCACAGTTTTTTTTTATAAGCATTTAAAGTTCAAAAATTGACAAAATATGGAAAAATCACGAAAAGTAGCAAATTTTTTTGAGTTAAGAATTCGTAAAAATTTTTCTTTTTAAATCTAACATTTGAAAATGAAACACAAGATTTCTTATAAGATTATCAATAAAAAAATCTCTACCGGACAGTCAAATTAAATTTTTATCAGCGTTTGAAATTCAAATTTTTACAACATTGGATATTCACTCGATTACTCATGTAGCGATTTCCTTATTTTGTTGCAATTCAAAAACGAACAACTGTAGATACATGAAAATTTCACTGAATGTTTAAATTAGCATTTTCTATACACCATACAATTTTGAAAATATTTTGACTCATTTTGAGCTGTTTATGGACATTTACAGCTTTCAATTTTTTTTAGTTTTTTTTTCTATAAATATCAATAAAGTTTTATCTGTTGGGCCAAAAAGTGTAAAAATTTAATACATTTTACATTTTCAAATTTTAGATTTAAAAAGAAAAATTTTTACGAATTCTTAACTCAAAATAATTTGCTAATTTTCGTGATTTTTCCATATTTTGTAAATTTTTGAACTTTAAATGCTTATAAAAAAAAATTGTAACTAAGGATTTTTAATATTTTTCATCTGCCTTTGAAACAATATACTAGGAGCCTTCTATTCAATTTTCTAGCTTTCGCAACCAACAAATAAAATTTTATTGATATTTATGGAAAAAAAACTAAAAAAAATGGAAAATTAAAATGTCCCTAAACAGTTCAAAATTAATCAAAATATTTTGAAAATGTAATGGTGTATAGACAATGCAAATATAAACAACCAGTGAAAATTTCATGTATATACATTCATTTGTTTTAGAGTTACACCAAATCCAAAATCGATTTTGCGTAAAAATTCCCGTTTTTCCTTAATTTTTTGTTGTTTTTCCCGGCGCTTGTGAAAACTACTGTGAAATTTTTACTTTTGATCCCCCAAAGTACCAACTAGATTCACTTTCCTAGCAGAAAAGCTACTGTTGAAGAAAATCCAAGCACTTTTACTGTCCTAAAACGTGATGACAGACACAAAAAAAATAAAAATAAATAAAAAAATAAAAAAACACACATAATTGTAAAATCACTACATTCATCGTTCCACTCAGAATCTAAAAATTTAAATTTGATTCAAATATTTTTAGAAAAATTCAAACTATCCAATTCGTAAATCGGATTATTAGAAGAAATTTAATGGTAACAACATTTACCTAAGTCAAGTAGCTTATTTTTTAGAATTTTTTGAAGTATCAATAATTTTTTTTCGAGTAAATTAATTTATAACGTAATAACTTTTTTCAAAATATTTTTTTATAAATTTCTTAACATCAGTATATTTATTAAAAATAAAATTTTCACAATTTTTGTCATTCGTTTAAGTAGCATCATTATTTTTGTTTTGATCGAGTTTTCCTGTTACACCTGTATATTAAAAACATGCTTGTACGATCCAATGAGTTCTGAACATTGAACCCCCATTTATAAAATATTGTTTTTTCGAGCTACAAAATTTTACTCTTTTTACATTTATGTTTAGGAACAAAATTGAGTCTAGTGAGATACATGAAGTTGTATATGGCTTTGATATGGAATGGCCAGTAACATTTAACAGAAAATCAAAAAAAACTGCTCTTATACAAATTTGCACTGACCACTCTACATGTTATTTATTCCATGTATGTATTTTAGTAATTTCATTTTTCACTTGTTGGCCTATAGTGATAGTTATTTAAATTTATATAACATAGGTGTATCATATCATAAATCTTCCATCAATATTTGTGCAGCTCATTAATCATCCAAAGGTTAGATGGTCTGGTGTATTTATTAAAAAGTAATTTTTCTTCCCATGTTTTTCTTGAAAAACTAATTATTTAATTACATTCTATATTTTTTGTTTATAGTGATTTTTTGAAGCTTGCAAGAGATTTTGACATTAATGTTACTGGTGCTTTAAATGGAATTATCGATTTAGGTGATTACACGAACAAAGTTTTGGATTTTGACTTGTCTACTAGATGGAGTATGGCCAATTTGGTTCAAAATTTAGTAAGTTCATAAGCGTAAGCAATTATTTAAGATTTAAGAAACATATTCATACTTAATGTATTTATTTTAAATAGCTTAAAAAAGATGTAAATAAAGATACAAATGTTCGTATGAGCAGTTGGGATAGCATACATTTAGATCAAAATCAATGTATGTATGCAGCGACTGATGCTTTTGTAAGTGTAACCGTGAATTAAACAATTTTCAACATTATTAATCGTTCTGTTAATATTTCTTATTATTTTAGATATCCTTAATATTGTATGAACATCTAAGAAAATTTGATAAAGAAAATGAACTCCAGATTAATTAAATTATTAAAATTAGGGCAAATGAGTTACGATTCATGTCTTAAATTGCAAAACCATTTATCAGAATCTTTAAAAACAACAACCATTAACCAGTGTGGTTATCTCCTTATTGTAGAACATGAACCTGTTTATACTGTTGGCATCAGACAAAAGGACTACAATCCACTTTTAGAGGAAAATTTAATTAAACTGGGCGCAGAATTCAAACGTACTAACCGAGGCGGTCTAATCACATTTCATGGTCCTGGACAACTGATTGCTTATCCAATTTTAAATTTAAAAAAATTTAATCCTAGCATTCGGTGGTATGTTGCAAATTTAGAAACAACCATTAAAGACCTTTGCAATGAGACTTATGGACTTACTGCAACTACTACATCCGATACTGGAGTCTGGATAGGTAATCATAAGATCTGTGCAATAGGTGTAAGATGTAGTCGATATGTTACTACACATGGCCTGGCCTTGAATTGTAATACTGACTTATCCTGGTTCAAACATATTGTACCTTGTGGCTTACATGGTAAAGGAGTTACCTCTCTTAGTACAATTTTTGAAAAAAACATTTCTGTCGACGATGTGTTACCATATTTCTTACAACATTTTTGTAAATCATTTTCATGTGACATTTTAAATACTGAAATTGATAAAATAGCTTAATTTAGTGAAAAATTAGTTCATTAAAAATTAAAATTTAGAATACTAGAATAATATAAAAATTAGATTATTTGTAGTAGAACTTTATTAATTTTTTATCATATTATTTTTTTTGCATTACTTATGTATGGCATGTTGAATTAATTATACTTATTTTTGTTTGTTTATATTTAAAAATAATCACTTGTGACAACTATATTATGTTAAATTTCACAATCTGTTATTCCATTGGCCAGTGTTGTATCAATTAATAAAATATTTAACTCATATAAGAACTTTTCTTTTATACTGGAATTTGGGTGAATTAGCATTCAACTTACAATTTTACATAAACATTTGGTGAAAATTTCACCTACAGTTGTCGGTTAACACCTATACACCATAAGTTGTTAGTTTTTTAGTTAAACCTAAAAATAAAACCAATTTTGTCAAAAACTGGTTTTGCATGAGAATTCTCGTTTTTTAATTTTAGATTCTGAGCTGCTGAATGTATGATTTTACAATGTGTGTATTTTTTGGGTTAGTCAAAAACCAAAAATAATATAACGAAAATCTGAGATTTTCTAACATTTTCTAAACACAACAATATTTTCATACATATCTTTTTGAGATATTTGAGCCATCGAATAATATTTATTTCTATTAGTTTTTTTTTAATATCAATGATAAAATTAATTTTATATAGTCAAAAAATTAAAAAAATTAATACAAAAATCCTCGTTAGCCTTTAATTAATAACAAAACAAAATTTACTGGAAACTGGAAAGACAAATCAATTTTTTATGGGCATAGGAAGTTAAAATTTTCTTTTAAATTTATGAATATTTTATAATTCTATTAGTATATTTAAAAAAATGTGCATATCTGTTATGATTATTATTTTTATAGTTATATATGATATTATGTAAATTATAAATAAATAAATTCATTAAAATATAATATTTATATTCCCACTTGGTTATTTTTAATTTATTTGTTTTAATTATTGTAGAAACTATTTAAAATAACATCGGTTGTAGTGATTTATTAGATTTGAAAATTGATTCCTATATTGTATATTGCGTAATTAGTATCGATTGGTATGCCGTATATATAATGACTACCTACCAACTACCTGTACGGATGATATGACAGATTTTTAATTTTAACCTTTTGGAAAAATTATTTATGTTTAATGACTTACATTTTTATCGTAGGTGTGTATCTTATCTATAATAAGTAGTAAATAAAAAAAACAATTTTTAAAGAAATTCAAAACAAATACTAAATGATTTTTAAACAAACAAAGTATAAATTAAAAAAACAGATTTTCTTAATAAAATTTAATTTAATTTTAAAATAATAAAACAACTTAAATTTTGAGTGGAGCAATAAATGTATTTATTTTATTATGATATTTATTTATTTATTTTTTTTTTTTTGAGTACGTCATCATCTTTTGGGACAGTAAACATGCTTTGATTTTCTACAACAGCATCTTTTATTCTTTTCTGATAGGAAAGTGAATCTAGTTAATACTTTTATTGCAGTAGTATGATAATGGGGGGGAGGGTTGTCAAAAAATAGTATATTAATATAATAATTGTAAATTATATTATTATATTCTTATTGTATGAAATTGCCGCAGGTGTGGCATTTGGTTTGCTTCTCTTTTGTCATTATTGACAAAGGTGGGCATGTTAATGAAAATAATTAACTCAAGTTAAATTATGTTAAGAGGACACAAGATCGATTAGTTAAAAGTTAGCAGTTGACAAATTATAAATTTAACTCGATAAGTTAAAAGTTCATATAGAAAAAAATATTAACTTAAATCAGTTTAAAAAAAGTTATTCTATTTTAGATTCTGAGTGAAACGATGAATGTATTGATTTTACAATGATGTGTTTTTTTTTTACTTTTGTGTCTGTCATCACTTTTTAGAACAGTAAAAGTGCTTGGATTTTCTTCAACAATATCTTTTCTGATAGGAAAGTGAATCTAGTTGGTACTTTGGGGGGTCAAAAGTAAAAATTTCCCAGTAGTTTTCACAAGCACCGGGAAATACAAAAGAAAAATTAAGGATAAACGGGAATTTTTACGCAAAATCTGTTTTCGAGAAAATCGATTTTAACTTATGATGCAATAACTCTAAAACAAATGAACGTATATACATGAAATTTTCACTGGTTGTTTATATTTGCATTTTCTATACACGATAACATTTTCAAAATATATTGATTTATTTTGAACGGTTTAGGGACATTTTCATTTTCCATTTTTATTTAGTTTTTTTTTCTAAAAATATCAATAAAATTTTATCTGTTGGGCCAAAAAGTGTAAAAATGTAATACATAGGCACAATTTTTTTTTTATAAGCATTGAAAGATCAAACTTTGACAAAATTTATCAAAATCTCGAAAATTATCAATCATTGTAATTAATAAATTATAAAATGTTCAGTTTTTATAGCTAAGGATTGCAAATTTAAAACAAAGGTTCTCATAAATAGTTCATACTGTAACCAAAAAATATACCTATGAACACAGTTATTTTTTACAGACATTTTAAATTAAAATATGGACGAAATTACATATTAAAAAAGGTGGGCAAGTGGGTGTCGCTCTGCTGTACAGTAGGTTACAAGTGGGTCACTGTATAATGGATGATATTTAATTTGAATTCAACGATATAATATCATTGTATAAGAAAAACGATTCTGAGCGGAGACGGTATGTCAGTCTATGTATAAGACATATTATATACATATCTATGGTATTAAACAAATAATTGACCTATAATGGGTACCCATAGGCGGTACTAGACTCCCTTGGCAGGGGGGGGGGGGGGCAGGAAATATTTAAACTATCTAACTATATGTTGGGAAGGGGGGGGGGGGGGCGTTAATGGGTGACTTCCCCTTCACCCCAATAAAACCCCTTCCAATTTACTCATTGAATAATTTTGTAAATAAAAAGGTGGGTAAGTGGATGTCGCTCTGCTGTACTGTAGGTTACAAGTGGGTCACTGTATAATGGATGGTATTAAATTTAACCTAACCTAAGGTACCTATAATAAATTCCAAATTAATCATATCACAATATCCATTAGGTACTTATAAGCGTTATACATCAACAAAAACCGTGATACTATCATAGATATATAATAGTACACTTTAAAAGTTTCAAGTACCCACGAATAATATTATTCAATCACAACAAAATAACTAAAATAGTTATTCTAGGTTTTTTAATATGTAATTTCGTCCAAATTTGAATTTAAAATGTCTGTAAAAAATAAGTGTGTTCATATATTTTTTAGATTTTTTGGTTATAGTATGAACTATTTATGAGAACCTTTTTATTGAATTTGTAATCCTTAGCTATAAAAACTGAACATTTTATAATTTATTAATTACAATGATGGATAATTTTCGAGATTTTGATAAATTTTATCAAAATTTGATCTTTAAATGCTTATAAAAAAAAACTGTGCCTATGTATTTTTAATATTTTTCAACTGCTATTGTAACAATATATCAGGAGCCTTGTATTACATTTTTACACTTTTTGGCCCAACAGATAAAACTTTATTGATATTTATAGAAAAAAAACTAAAAAAAATTGAAAGCTGTAAATGTCCATAAACAGCTCAAAAAGAGTCAAAATATTTTCAAAATTGTATCGTGTATAGAAAATGCTAATTTAAACATTCAGTGAAATTCTCATGTATCTACAGTTGTTCGTTTTTGAATTACAACAAAATAAGGAAATCGCTACATGAGAAATCGAGTGAACAATCAATGTTGTAAAAATTTGAATTTCAAACGCTCATAAAAATTTAATTTGACTCTCCGGTAGAGATTTTTTTATTGATAAAGGAAGACAAACTTATGAGTAATCTTGTATTACATTTTAAAATCTTAGATTTAAAAAGAAAAATTTTTACGAATTCTTAACTCAAAATAATTCGCAAATTTTCGTGATTTTTCCATATTTTTACAATTTTTGAAAAATATTTTGAAAACGTTATCGTGTATATAAAATGCAAATATAAACAACCAGTGAAAATTTCATGTATATACGTTCATTTCTTTTAGAGTTACACCAAAAACCAAAATCGATTTTTTGGAAAACCGATTTTGCGTAAAAATTCCCGTTTTTCCTTAATTTTTATGTTGTATTTCGCGGTGCTTGTGAAAACTACTGGGAAATTTTTACTTTTGACCCCCCCAAAGTACCAACTAGATTCACTTTCCTATCAGCAAAGCTACTTTTGAAGAAAATCCAAGCACTTTTACTGTCCTAAAACGTGATGACAGACACAAAAAAAAATAAAAAAATATAAAAACACACATCATTGTAAA